TAGAGAAATGTGTTAGCTTATTATAAGGATTTTATTAATTCTCTTTCAGAGGTGGGTTGATAAGCAGATTCTGTCAGCCCAAAAGTGTTAAAGTGCTTTTTATTTTTTTTTAAAGTGCTTTTAAAAATGTACATCCCAAGCAGCTTTTATAGTTCAAATAATATCTGAGGTTTGATCATATCAGAATAAAGTCCCAAGGGGCCAGTGTCTCAAAGACATTTTAGTTACCATTCAGTTAGATCGACTGAATATAGATTAGGCAGAAGTAGAAATCTGGCTTATTACTTCTGTGAGATAACCACAGAGTTAATCCCAAAGAAATGATCTGCAGGAGTTATAGCTAAAATTCACAAAAGACAGAACAATGAATTTGTAAATAACTGTTAGTTTCCTTAGCTGCCGTTCTCTCTGTATATGTCTGTCTCTTTCTGAGATTGCACGAGTTTCTTTTCTCTGCCAGTCTTTGTTCATCTGCTTCATTCTTCTTTTTATAGACTGTATTTTTCTGTTGTACTTCTCTGTGGCCTGAATATGATCTTTATAAACGTTTGGCTTAGAAATATACCACCTGCAGCTGCCATCTCTCCCATGTCTGAGAGATGAGAAAGGGAGCCACAAATAAGACTTCAGTTTGTTTAGCACAGCCATGGATGGCATTGGCACCTCGAGTCTGATCAACCATGCTCTGCAGCTTATTTCTCTGACCGTTTGGGCATGTGGGCAGTGTGAGTGCCCCTTTAAGAAAGCAAAGAAAATATATACCATTAGAATACATCTCTTTTCAGAAAACCTGATTGCTTCTTTCAAAATAACATGTGGATTTTGAGGTTTACAAATGATAATACTCAAGTGTGGCTAGTAAACATTAATCTAGTTTCATGTTCCTCAGATTATATTAAAATTTAACTTCCTAGAAAAATTTTATACTTTGTGATGGATTCATAACACATTAAAGGATTAAAAACCTCTGAGAGTAAGATATTGATCACTGTAGCAGAACTCTCACTAAGAATTAAATTGGTAGTCATTTTGTTTACTTCATTCCTCATAGGAGATGCTTTGACCTGTGTACATCCTACCATGGATAACAGTGGCCTGTGATAATCTGTAAAAACTTAAATTATACTTTTACTGCAGATAAAGTGAGTCAGTTATTTTCAGTATTGAACAATTCTGTCAACACAGGCATTTAACTTTTTTTTCCTCCAGATTTCTGGGGAAAGAAGAATACATGGTTTTTGGTTAGACAATGTTTCAGTAGTCTCTGTTCATTATACAGAACAGTATATCAAAAACTGTATTCTTTATCATCAGAATTTACTAATTTGTCATTCTTTTGAGCCATCCGTTTACCAACCATTTTCAAACACCCAGTATACAAGGCATTGCACTTATTACTATGAGGTATATAGGAAGTTTGAATTTGATAAAGCTTCTTGTCTTAAGGCACTTAAAATCTAAAAATACAGTCTACTTGAATATCTATTATCAGATTGGAAAGGACAGATAGATTGTTATTCAGAGGAGAGACCAGTTACTTCTGTTAGTGGTGGCAGGCCGGGGAGAGAATGGGGAAATTTCATGAATAAAATAGAATTTTCACTAGGAATGTCCAGGAATTAGATCTATAGAAATAGTAGTAAATGTAGTTAGCATTTGCTCAGAATACATTTTAAATAATGACTCAATCAGGAAAGCAAAGGAGTTTGTTAGTCACAAGTTATGATTAGTTAGTTCAGTAGATAGAATAATAGGTAGGTAGTTCATAGGGAATTAAGGAAAATCTGAAAAGACATATTGGAGCAAGGTCTTAGTAGTATCAATTGGACAGTTTTGGATTTGTTCTTACAATACTTGGAGAGCCATTGGAAATTTTTGAATAGGCAGATGGCACGAGGAAATCCTGCTTCAAGAAAATAAACTTCCTAGGGAACTACTTTCTCTTAGAAAACCAATTACAGAAATGTAGACTCAAGATGTATGTATGATAGTTGGCATAATCATTTATCAGTATTCAACAAAATTAATTTAAGACTTTTATTTAAAAAAGGATGATAGAGTTAATGTTCCTTTAAAAAAAAAGTGGGTGTGTTAGTTGCTCTGTCATGTCCAACTCTTTGCAACCCCAGGAACTGAGCCTGCCAGACTCTTCTTCCACAGACTTCTCCAGGCAAGAATGCTGAAGCGGGTTGCCATTCCCTTCTCCAGGGGCTCTTCCCAACCCAGAGATTGAACCCGAGCCTCCTGCATTGCAGGCAGATTCTTTTCCATCAGAGCCAACAGGGAAGCCTAGTGTTTGTTAACTTCAAGCGAAAAAGTTTGCAGTATGCCTGCCACGTGTTCCCTAGGTTGTAGTTTCTATCAGAACACAGACCTGTTTCAGATTCCTATCTTTGTCCCTCTATTGTGGATTTTATTTTTACTATTCTTTGCTTTTAATTTCAAAGTGCCCTGATTTGAACAGAAAAAAAAAAAATAGCAAAAGAGACCATTTTCAACTCTCAGATTATTTGAAATCATATTGGGACATCATCACATGTTCATAGTTAATGTAAAATTGTGTGAGTTCACATTCCTAAGTACAGAAATGTCACAGAATAATTCATGATGAATTACCACATGAGTGATGTGGACAAAGATAGCTTAAGCTTAGACAAGAGGTGAACTCAACTTCACAGTTAGCTGTTGAGACTAGGCTGTTCACACTGACTAGAATTTGGAGAGAGTCCCCTTACCATTTCCTTATCGTCTGCTTACTGGTTTCCAAAACAGTTTGGGGCACTTTTTAGTCATAATTTTATGTCCTATACATTTCCGGCCACATATCATTACAGTACTCAATCACTCTCTTTAGGAAGATCTTAAAAGCATAGTCTCTGCTTTTAAATAGCTTACAATATATTAAAACATATAGTATCAGGCACAGAGTCTAGTACTGGTAAGTGCTTAGTAAATGTAGTTGTGTCCCTTCCTTATACTAGTGAGTGGTGAGTGTTGCTCAGTATTTCACTCCATGAGTGCATCCCCCAGAGTTTGTAAGAAATGGGAGAAGCGAATCTGCAGTTTTCTGTGTTGCACCCAGTTCCACCACGCATATTTATAGAGATAACCACTTCTTACACACAGTGTGTTGTTAATGTTTAAAAATACTCTCTGTACTTCATCTGGTGTTTAGTTGATTTGCTCAGACACTGGAAGTGAAACTGGCTGATGTTGGATTTACTGAGAAACTATATCTGTCTCTACCACTGCATTAAGATATCTTCAAGGATAATCTTGACCAAAGGCAAATTTTACCTTTTGCAATGACTTTAGAAACTAACACCTCCAGAAAATAGGGCTTCAGTGTAACCTAATAACAGTGGAGCATAGCAAGCCTATCAGATTGTGATGAAAAAATATCGTAGAAGAGGAAGTGATGTAAAAGTAAATGACAGATGGTCTTTAATGATATGTGGAGGGATTCAAGTTTTTGTGAAGGCATTGAAGAGTCCCTGAGTTTCAGCTGAGGAGTAACTTGGTAAGATCTGTATTTTAGACTAGTAGTTCTCAAACCATGTTCCCATGATTTGATGAACTGGATTGAGGATTTCCATCACTGTAATTAAATTGGTGTTTTATGCAAATTCCAGGAAAATGTTAGTGATTAGAATGTTCTCAGTTTTAAGTTCTTCTCCTGTGGTGAGAACGTAATAGAAATATTAATAGAAAAATTCAAGTTTAGTTTGACCACTTGTGTTTTCCATCAATACATGCTAATAATGACTGAGATTTTATGTATAAATAGTCATTTTTATGCTGGCAAATATGATATAATTAAATTTGTCAGTATTTCACGGTGAATTTTGTGAAACACTGTTAAGAATTTATTTGAATCCTTGCCTGAAGTGTCACGGCCTTACGTACAACAATGAAAGACTGGAGACAGGAAGACCAATTGTCTTAAATCCTCTGTTATTCTTGTGTTTGGCGGGGGTACACAAGTGTTTTGAATAATCAGCCAGTATGTATTTGAGAACTTAACCGTGTACCATTAATAGGAGCTTTCTAGACACAGAAAACCTATGCAATACAGTCCATATTTCAGTAACCTTAATTTTACTTGGTAAACAAACATTATCCCAGTGTTCTAATTTCTAAAATAGTGCTGAATTGACATAGGTGTTCAGAAAGGAAGTAATCATCAAGGTTTAAAGTAATCAAGGAAGACTTCTTAGAAAAGGTGAGACTTGCCATGGATCTCGTAATCCAGAAAGGCAGAACGAAGGGCTTCTCTGAAAGAAGCATTGTGTACAATGAATGTGGACTTTGGTCTGACTAGAGTAGTCTTTACTGGGGCATTCCAGAAAACAGGTTAGGACTAGTTAGTTTTGATCAAATTATAAACATGATCCCAAAGTTTAACATGTCTTAACAGTCTTAAAAGTAAACGTTCTTTCATTATGATTTTTCAAAGTTTTAAAAATGGAACTTCTGAATTTTCAAATCAAGTTTTTGGTTAAATGTGTCTGTAATGCAATCAGGTCATTCTATTATAATCATTTGCTAAAATTAAAAAAGAAATTAATTACTTTATCTTTGCTTACTTACTCTGTTGTCTTTACATTCTGAGAACAAGTTTGGTAGAACCCATTCATCCAAAATGTGCATCTTGCTGTGGCAGGCAGCAAACCTCAGACAAGAGTCCCAGCCCTTGGGGACCTTACAGAGACCTCGAGTTGTCAAGGAGAGTGGCAAGGAATGGAGGATGGACAGGAAGACAGTCATTCAGGGAAGAGATGGGTATATTGTAATTTTCAATAAGATGATCAGAGAAGGGCAGCTAAGAAGATGGTATTTCTTTAGAATCAGTATGCAAGAGCTCGTGAATAGTTCATGAATAGTCTATTGTATTTTCATAAAAGTTGACAATTGATTTTTTTCAAGAATTTATTTACTAGGGTATAAAGGGGAACAAAACAGCTGCTCAGTCCCATGTGCCCCCTTCAATGATTTTTCAGATGAATGCACTGGACACCCTTGGTCAGACCGCTTTGCATAGAGCTGCCCTTGCTGGTCATCTGCAGACATGCCGCCTGCTGCTGAGTTACGGCTCTGATCCCTCTATCATCTCCTTACAAGGCTTTACAGCAGCACAGATGGGGAACGAGGCCGTGCAGCAGATTCTGAGTGGTAAGTTCACACAGACAGACCTTGCTTTCTGTTCTTCCTCTTCCAGGTCTGTCCACTGACACGCAGACTTTGTGCCCCTAGTTTTAAGGGGCTCTTTGGAATGTTTTCTTGGCCTGAAAATTTTTCCTGCCTTTCTTTGCTTACAGTTTAGCCTGTGGCCCTGCCCATCAACATTCTCCTTTTTGTAATTCTTAAACTTCAAACATTCCAAATTTTTCTCTTATACTTGTACTAAGAACCATTTAATAGTGAATTTTAGGTTAGTTTCTGCAAGTTGGAACTATAAATCAGGCAAACATATAGCTATTACATCAGAATTTCTCATAATATTATATGTAGTTTTTAGAGGTAATTGATAAAATGAGGAGGAAAAGGTTGAATAAGCAGATTGCTCCAGCAGTGCTTTTAAAATGTCTTCTAAATGAATACAGTAAGAATATATGGCTGCTAGTAAAAGATAAAATTAAATACTGAATCACAAAAGAAAATTTTTTTATTTTGATAATTCTTAAAAATTGATTAGTAAGATAAAACATTATATGGGTCGTTAAATGCCTAATTCAGTATGTGCCAGAACTTTTTAGTTTAAGTCTTCATATTTTTTATTGATCAGGAAGGATAATACAAATAATAGAATTTGGTGGTAAAGTCTTGCCCTTACAAAGGTTTTCTTAAATGAGAATTCTTTTTTTTATTTAGAAGACAATATAACTTTTTAAACTAATACTTCTGCAAAAAAAACTGTATGTCTATAGACCATATACTAGCCATACTTTTCAGTTGTACCTGTATTTACTAATCCAATTCCAGGTTGTCTGTAAGACTCCTGAAAGAATACATCAGTTATATAGAGTGTATGGTACATTATTGGGGTTCTGTTCTGGGCAATGTTTTAGAGGTTTATTTAACAACCCCTGTTAATGCCAGGTTTGAGAGCCACTCTGAAAAACCAGCACTTGATCCCACAAGCTTGTAGTTAGCAACAGTGTACAGTAGTAGAGTTTTAACTGTAAACTCTGACAGCCTTTATGGTAACATCTGTCTTTCCATTCACCAAATAATTTTCTCTCCTTTGCTACTCTGTGGGTCCTTAAAAACCAGCAGTAACCTTCCGTTGTCTTTTATGCAGAAAGCACACCTATACGCACTTCTGATGTTGACTATCGACTCTTAGAAGCATCTAAAGCCGGAGACTTGGAAACTGTGAAGGTATGTCAATGCTTTAATGTCTTGGGTAGCTCTTTGAAACCTTTGCTTACCAATTCATTTTAAGCTTGTAAGAGAAACAACTCAAATCCAAACAATATAAGGGATGAGCAGAGTGGACTCATAAGGAGAGATCTTTATGAAGAATTTCCTAGTATGTGCCTTTCATTAAATCACTTTTTAGTCACTTTACTTCTGGTTCTGTGAATGCTCTTTTTTATTTCTTCCCACTTTTTAAAATTAAAGTGTTATTTTGGACCACACTTATAAATTTGCAAGCTAGTGCAAGCCCAGGTAATAGTACAATAAAGTTTGAAACAGTGTTCTTGACCTTTTCCAAGAGGTTCTCATATTTGTCTAGGAAATCATCTTTATGATCCTGTAGTTGGGATGTATTTTTGATTCTACAATTTATGTATTAATGTAGCCACAGACTCACTTGTCATGAAAAGATACAATCTGACCAAATGATGATTTCTCTTTAGGTTATAGAGTCTCTCCCTTATGCCCAGACTTCCTTCTGTTGTGTAAAAAAACTGTACCACCTGCAAAGTCCTGTGTTCACCCTACCAGCCCCTTCTCAGTATATCTATAGGTAACTTCCAGGTTCTGAGTTTTTGTTATAACAGCTCACTACAGTGGCAGGAGTAACAACCAGACTGTCAAATACCTGGAAAGCCCTTGACATCAGACCTTGTAGCCTAGAAAATGTGACTTTCTCTGCTTTTTTTTTTTTTTTTTTTTTTACCTTTCTTCTTTTCGTTACCTCTCTTCACGTCACTTCCCTAAATTTGGGATAATTAAATAAGTAAGCAGTGATTAAATAATTAAATAAGTAAGCAATGGCAGAAAGATTACAAGATTAAAAATCAGGAAAATGGGGTTTGAGTTTTTATTCTATCCCTTACCACTCTAGGACATAGGATGTCACTTAACCTCTCTGAGCCTTGGTTTATTTATCTGTAAAATGTAGATGATGATTAACTTCTCAAGTAGAGAATAATTCTCTCACTGGAAAAAAAAATGAAATTCTTTATAGATTATTACTCAGATATTTGTATTGTCATCCATCTGTCACCACCCATAATGCAGCCTCTCCAGCCTGACTTTGCTTCCACTGCTTTGTAAGCAGACAGAGTTGAGCTTGTGCTGAGATGATAATGTTCAAAAGGAAAACGAACAGGTGAAGGAGAGGAGATTTGGAGGACACAGCTGAAGGAGATAGAAGGCCAAAAACTAGTACGAGCAGAATCAGCATGACTTTTAGACCTAAACAAACATCCCCTTGAAGATCAGGTAAAACATTGGTGACTGCTTGGCTCTGCTCTGATGGATCAAAGGGCCAAAGGGATGGCCCAGACAGAATGAATGTAATTTTTCCAGAGCCTTCTTGTTGCCACGTCAAAACAGGCAAGAATTTTGGATAGTTCTGCAGTCAGCCAAGGTTAATCTTATTTGAGCAAAGAGTGACTAAGAGCGTGCTGGTACAAGTAGACAGGCTCTCACCCAGAAGAAAGCCTTGTAACAATGAAAGGAAGGCACCATTTGCCTTGGAAATGCCTGCTTTATCATGTTTTCTTCTTTTTGATTAGGATTTTGGCCAGGAAATGTTGAAAAAGGTGAAATTGCTGTGCAAACATAAGAATATTTGTAGACACTGTAAAGCAAAACATCTTGCTGATTTTAAAACGTCACTTGTATTATCTAATCAAAGAAATATTCATTAGAAAATTACAACTTATCCAAGATGCCTGCAGTATTTTGGTGCAAGATCCTTAAATAAATACTAATGTTCTTTTTGTGTTTCTGTGTGTGTGTGTCAATAAAGCAACTTTGCAGCCCTCAGAATGTGAATTGCAGAGATTTAGAGGGCCGGCATTCCACGCCCTTACACTTCGCGGCAGGCTACAACCGTGTGTCTGTCGTGGAGTACCTCCTCCACCATGGTGCCGATGTCCATGCCAAAGACAAAGGGTATGTGTTAGAATGTCACTGTGTGGAATTCATTTTCTTGATACTTTTTTTTAAAAAAAAATGAAAAAAATTTTTTTCATGATAGATTTTTTCCTCTTGTTAAAAAAGTAGTGTGTGTGTGTTTGTTGTTGTTGTTGTTGTTGTTTAAAGCTTAAAGCATATGCTTAGAACTTTGTTGTTGTATAGTAGCTAAGTCATGTCCAACTCTTTGCAACCCCATGGACCATAGCCCACTAGGCTCCTCTGTCCGTGGGATTTCTCAGGCAAAAATACTGGAGTGGGTTGCCATTTTCTTCTCCAAGGCATCTTCTCTGGCCCATGGATCAAACTCACATCTCCTGCATTTGCAGGCAGATATGTTTTTACTACTGAGCCACCTGGGAATCCCCCAAAATTAAAACTTTATGAAAATGTATAGAAAGTGAAAAGTCCTTCTCATTCCACTTCCTAGAGATTACATCAAAATTTTGTTGTGATTGTCTGGAGTTTTGAAGCACATGTACCAGTGTGTGTGCTGTTGAGGTGGGGCTTGCTTTTAACATAAATGAAGATGTCATCCCCCACAGTCTGCTTTACTGTTTGCCTTTTTTATAATAGCATATCTTGAATTTCTTTCCATATCAGTACTAAATAGTTCATTTCATCCTTTTAATGCCTATATATAGTATTTTATTGTATTATGTAAATATGTTTATATAGTTTATTGTTTATCCCTCCTTTTGTTATTAAAAATGTATAGTCTCCTCCAAAAAAGAAGCCATCTATCCCAGAGTCATCCATATTAATAGAAACGTAATTTCATTTTTACTAATTTAGGTATTCTCTATTTTTGTATTAGCTTATGAAACTATTTCAGTTTATCTAGACAGGGTTTAAAGCAGCCACGGAAGACATTTAGAAAAGCACGATGGAAGTTTTAACTGAAATGAGCTTCCATATCCTGAGTTAATTTCATATCATCTCAAAATATAAATAAGCACCTTCCTGTGCAGTTACATTGCTAAGAAATAAATCGCACAACTTAGACTTCAGTTGGGCTTCCTTGGTTGCCCAGACAGTAAAGAATCTGCCTGCAGTGCAAGAGACAGGGTTTGACCCCTGGGTCAAGAAGATCCTCTGGAGAAGGGAATGGCAACTCACTCTAGTATTCTTGCCTAGAGAATTCCATGGACAGAAAAGTACTACAGTCCTTGGAATGACAAAGAGTCGGACCTGACTGAGCAGCTACCACTTTCACTTTCACTAGATTTCAGTTACCATTTTGCATTTATTTCTCTTTTAAAAGAATCATGTCAGACATGAATATTTAATATTGATCACTATCTCTTTCAAAGTATTATAGTTAGTTAGAGAGGAACCAACATTTGTTTCTATTGCCCCATTTTAGCACTTAGCGTTTTTGGTCTCAAAACATTAAAAACAAAAACAAGAAACCCGATCTCTAAGCAGAAAGGTACTGACTTGATACCTTGTGTCTGCTATGTACTAAGTGCAACTTAAACTTATCTTTTGAGGCACCCTCCTTTTTTATGGGTACATCTTTTTGTCCTTTTAGAAGGCCAGCTGCCTTGTAATCAGAACTTGAGAGTCATCACAGAATAGTTTGCACATCTGACTAGAGTTCTTGGTTGATGTCATTATTTTCATTACTGAATACTGACTCTATCTTCAAGATCAGAGAATTATTTTTCTTAAGGGAGTGTTCAGTAATAGTCAAATGCCATAGAGAATTATTTTATTATATATATCATTTTAACATGCAGATTTATTGTATGTCTTTAAAATAATTTTCTTTGGTTTAGTGGCTTGGTGCCCCTTCATAATGCTTGTTCATACGGACACTACGAAGTAGCTGAGCTCTTGGTAAGACATGGGGCTTCTGTCAATGTGGCGGACTTATGGAAATTTACCCCTCTACATGAAGCAGCAGCTAAAGGAAAATATGAAATCTGCAAGCTCCTTTTAAAAGTATGTACTTTTAAAAATTATAAAATATAAGGTAATTATATTTATTATTGGTTAGGATGTAAAATGACATCAAGGTAAATTATTCTGTAATGCAGTGCAGTAAGTGCTGTAGAGACTGCTTCCGTTTTCTGTTGTAGAGGGATGTTTTAAGTGTGATATCATGATACTTTTGTAGCTTTGAGTAGTGGCTGAAGTGCCTTTCTGAACTGATTTGATTATGTTGAGTTCATCACAATTCAACAAGGTAGGTTTTGGAAAGAGTTGAATTAGCTTGCATTACTTATCTGTGACTGACAGAATTAATATCAGAAGACATTTATATAAGAAGAAATGTGTTTTTCCATCAGGTTTGATTTTTTTTTTCTTGCTAGCTATTTTTATTATTGTTAACAAACTCATCTCTAACTATTAAGCATTAATTAAACATTAAAAGATATAAAATTAAAAGATGTGAAAAATGACTGGACATGTATTTATATCATTTCCTCTCTCTTTTTTTTAAACTAGAAAGAAACTTGTCTTAGTTAAATATAAAATTCTTCTCCTACCACTTTTATGGGATCAGATATGTTCATATGAGTTTTAAGAATAACACTGTATTTGATACTCATTTTTATTGCCACTGGTTAAGTAAGAAATAACTTCTAGGTCACTGTGAATTCACTGTCTAGGTTGGTTATTCCAGATTTCCCCAGTGGGCCAATAACATCTGTGTCAGGCCTGTAAATAAAGATTCTTGACTTTTATTTACTTTATTTCATAAGTATAAATGATTAAACTTTTTAAATCAAGTTAATTGTTAATATATTTCTACCTAATTTCACCATAGGTGCTCAGACTTAAAACAGAAATATTTTTGAATTACCAAACTTTCTTTTTACTGATTCCATTTGGAATTGAGTATTAATACTTTTTCCACCTGTGTCTTCCTCTTCTCATTTCATCAGCACTGAATATCTTTATATATTAATAATTAAGATTTGATTAACATTAATATCCAGGTCATCATTAAAAGAAAAAGCGGTTTCCAAAGACAGCATAGAGTCTGAGACAGTATATGCTACAAAAGTAAAAAGACACTTGTTCTCACCATCACAGGTGATCCTGAGGCATGGGGCTTTGATATGTTGCTAAGTAGGAAATTTGCAGGAAAACCAAATATTGCTCTGTTTTTCACAATGCACATAGAATAGGTATTTTTCTTTGGAGGAGCCAAAGTGCAAGTTAAAAATAAAGAAACAAAACATAACAAAGATGCTACAGAAAACACAAAGACCATTTGGTTATTTTGTAGCATGGAGCAGATCCCACTAAAAAGAACAGAGACGGAAATACACCTTTAGATTTGGTAAAAGAAGGAGACACAGATATTCAGGACTTGCTGAGAGGAGATGCTGCTTTGTTGGATGCTGCCAAGAAGGGCTGCCTGGCAAGAGTGCAAAAGCTCTGTACCCCAGAGAATATCAACTGCAGAGACACCCAGGGCAGAAACTCAACCCCTCTGCACCTGGCAGGTAAGCATCACCAGCACTTTCGCTATCACTTCCAAGGCTCATGTCCTTTCTTGGATACAGTGCATCAGAAGAGGAAAGAAATGCTGATCAGGAAGAGTGCTGCTACTCAGTAAAATGCTTCACTGACATCATTTTACATAATTTTTATTATAAATCTTATAAATTTTTTTATTCTTAATCATTCTTAACTAGTTTTTAAAGCAAAAAGTATTAAAAAGCCAGTATTTTCTGGTCATTATCATTTATATACATTTTTTTTTTCTTTTAAGCTGACATGTTTGCCTTTTTTTCATTCTAACAGCAGGCTACAATAACCTGGAAGTAGCAGAGTATCTTCTAGAGCATGGAGCAGATGTTAATGCCCAAGACAAAGGTGGTTTAATACCTCTTCACAATGCGGCATCCTATGGGGTGAGCATGCTAAAGTCCAGAAAAGTTCACTGATACTTACTACTTTGTTAAATACATACCATGCATGAAGTAACCAACAGATACCTAACCCACAGCATAATTTAGTACAATTTTAATCTTACTATTTAAAGTGTTTCTAGCCTTCTCAGTTAGGTTTAACTGTCTTTTGCCCAAAGACCGTATTTTTTCAGCTTTTTGGACTCTTCACATTATGTAGTAAAATAATAGGTATTTAATGACTGCTCAGCTAATACTTATTGATACAGATAATAAATCTTAATGGTACCTTATGTAGATTTTATAAACTCTAAAAGCCAGCAGTTTACTCTATAAGCATGGAAATTATGCTTGCTTATGTTTATCATCAGCATCTTAGAAATATTGAAGTATCGTTGAGTGATTGCTATATATGGTTTCTTACAGTTCAGATGACTAGCTGAAACCCCACCGTGAAAGTCGAAATTTATTCTTTCAAAGCCCTGTAACTGTAATCATCAGCTGAAAGAGAGAAAGGGATGTATTCCAACCTTGATATTTGTTGGACCGCCTGCCTGGAAGTCACCAGGGCCCACTCTAGGTCTGATGATTCACGCAGGAAGAATATGAATGCTTCTGTGCTTTCTGCTGAGCCACTTAATCCCTGTTTGACTGTAAAAATGCCCAGATGCCGGGATGTACATACCAGGGGTTCTTATAAATGGAGTCATTATTGGTGAGGACGGTTTCTAGATTTGAAGAAACCTGACAGACTATAAGTAAAAAGTAGTCACATGACTTCCGTATTCTTTTACTCTCTCCTTCCTTGCCCTTTATGATAAGCATATCCACATCTCATTCCCCCTCTTAGTGACCAGTATTTCAGGGAGATGACATGTCCTGAGTTGAAACACTCTTCAGGAAAGCAACAAACCAGTTTCAGGTTGGACAGATAGGAAAGAAAATATTTCTTCCGAGTGTGTGTTTGACCAACTCAAAATCAGTATTAAATAGACACAAATTAATTGACTTCAGTAGTGGACAATGACTGGTATCCTGGGGATAAAATAGTTTTGTGAGAGAGCTGAAATGACATAAAGTTACTTAAGCTGTTATTTATTGTTCATTATTCTTTGATACATATTTTACCTTTTTCTTCTGAGAGGTCAGTCAGCTCTCTGTGTATCTTTGGGCCTTTTTATATAGAAAGAACTTACCACTTCAGTTTTTCCAAATGGAGAAACAAATACATAGTTTAAGAAGTTTGAATAAAAGTTGAAGGTTTAATGAGAATATATATTAATGGTAATGTGCATTATCCTGCTTAGTGTTTTTATATTATAATGCCTTATATTATTTTTAATATACATTTATACACTACCATTAATATTTTTGCTCTTCAGTAGATATAAGGCATTGATATTTATTTACCACACAGCATGTAGTTTTGTATTCTTTCATAAGAGTAAATCAGTTTACTGAGTTTTCTTTCTCAACTTTTTCATTTTTTAGTGCTTTCTCTAAAATGTATAATATGACGTTAGGGGAATTGCATGACACTGTTGTAAAATTAAATTGCTCTAACTGGAGCCCAAGCACGTTTCTCTTCTCCTTGCTTCTCAACTTGCTAAAATTAAATTAGGGCCCTTGCAGTGTTTTTATGTCACATTTGTCATTTAAAGCATTTTGTGTTGCAGCTGAATTTTGAAACCATATTAAATTGACTCCTGGAAACATTCCAGCAGAGTTCAGTTCCTTTTCTAGACCTTCCAGTTCAATACTTTGCTCAGTCCCGTTCTATAGGACCGAGCTGTAGCTATTTATTGCATTCATCAGCCTTAAATTTCAGTTATAATTTTTTCCCAGTGATGTGGCTATTTAAAAGACTTAAGAGTTGTGTTTTTAAGACTAAAAAACACTGTATTTTTTAGTGTTTTAGTGTATGGTACTATACAAGTACCATATTACATGTATAGTAATATGCTTCCTGTTTTTGCATTTTCAGATGTTTGTCAGCAAATTTAACAAGCATGTAGTTGGTTTCTCCAAGCATGAACTACAGATTTTATATAAAGAAAGTTTAATAACATATACTGTATATATAATTAATTTTATCCTCACACACATAATTTTCCTTGGACTGCCTTAATTTTGGAGACCTATACGAATTCACCTACCTGATTATATTATTCCATCAATACAAATGTGTGTGTTAGTTGCTCAGTCATGTCTGACTCTTTGCAACCCCATGGGCTGTAGCCCACCAGGCTTTTCTGTCCATGGGGATTCTCCAGGCAAGAATACTGGAGTGGGTTGCCATGCCCTCCTCCAGGGGATCTTCCCAACTCAGGGATCAAACCCAGGTCCTCCTGCATTGCAGACAAATTCTTTACTGTCTGAGCCAGTAGAATAAAATTAATCACCAGGAACATAGTTTAAATACCCTGTAGCCATACTGGGAAGAAGCTTGAAATTACTCCATGCTTTTGGATTAATTGAATAAAAATAGCTATTCTTTTCAACATATATCCTTTGAATAAGGGAAATAAATTACTGTGGTTTAAGTGATTTTGATAGTACTACAGATGTCACCTCTTTCTATCTTTTGTGTTAGAATCAATTTCATAATTATGCCATATCATTCATAATCCCCAGAAGGTCCAAAACATGGTCTGTTTTCAGAAGCCCTGGTCTGATTATGCTCTGTTGCTGTTGTTTTTATATTGTCAGAGCAAGTATGGAAGCTTTCTTAGACGTTTCTGATTTGTATTTGCCTAAATTTTCTTCTGTTTTCTGAAATCGCTTTTCCTAAAATTAGAAAATATTTGTATTGTATGAAAAAAATTTTAATACTTCCTCAGAAGAAGTACCTATTCCTTTTGAAGTGAGTGTCTTTAAGAGAGCAAAGAAAATATTTTAAGGAATTTTTAAGGAAAATTTGAAGAAGCCTGCCCTAAATCCCAGTACTCCTGTCTCTACCTTCCTCATCTCTATCCATTCTCATGAAAGTCAGCCTCAGATAGGTATTCAGCAAATGTCTGATTGGTGGGCAAGTGCATTAGAGAGAATAAATGAATAAATAAATGACCCTGCCATCTGTGCTCTGACCTTTTGTGTCAAACCATTTACAGAACACCATTACTTAGATATTTTACTTTAGAAACCACATACCTCGAGTGAACCTTCCTTAAAGTTTCCTTCCTACTTAAACTTCTGCTATTCGATTTCTGCTAATGCTTCCCTCTACCTTTTTGTAAATCTTCTAGACTACCTTATAAAAACAAAAGACAGTCATCTTTGAATTTTTTCCTCTCCCTCTGTAGTTAATTTGTCTTCCTAAAACCCATTTTTTTCTTCCAAATTTCTCACATTTAGCTCTTCCTTTGTGCTCTTCTCTAGCCATCCCAGCTCAGTCTCTGATCACCGCCTGTCCAGGTGATTAATGTGTGTGCTGCTGCTGACATGGTCTCTACCCCCTAAGTCACTTTGGGCATGACAGACTAATTTTTGTAGAATGTTGCTTTGTTACGTTACATTACTTCCCCAAAGGCTGAAGAAAGAAGATTGAGAATCTTTGAGATGAGTGTTTTAATAAACAGATCAGATTGCAGTGGGTTAGAGATTTTAAAATAGGTCTGAATATGCAATAGGGCTGAATAAAAAAATTTTTAAAGCTCCCGTGACGAATTACAGAGTAGCAGAATAATTCCAAAATTGATATTTTGGAGGAAGGAAGAAAAGATGAAGTCCAAAATACAGATGGAAGAGTGCAATGAATATTCTTTTTTTATAAAAGAAGCTTCTGTTAAGGATGAGAATAGAGATGTAGGGGCAATGAAATGTTAAGTGAAAACAAGTGTACCTGAAGGAGCTTTACCAGATAATCTCCTTGTTACTCCTTGGTATCCTTTTGTTTTCCTTCAGCATGTGGACATCGCGGCATTATTGATAAAATACAACACGTGCGTAAATGCAACAGACAAGTGGGCGTTTACTCCTCTTCACGAAGCAGCCCAAAAAGGCAGGACGCAGCTTTGTGCCCTGCTCCTAGCGCATGGTGCAGATCCAACTATGAAGAACCAGGAAGGCCAGACCCCTTTAGATCTGGCAACAGTAAGTCCTCACTTCAGAATATTTAGAATTGGAATTATAGAATAATTCCAGGGATGACAGTAAATTCCAGGGTTTATTAGCAGGTTTGCTTTAGTGGTGCATATTATCCCTTAGGAGAAGAACAAGTTTCCTTCCTTCTGGAAACTTGAGAATTTTTTAAGTTCTTGTTGTTCTTGTTGCTTTAATTTAAAACTATTAAAACAAACTAAGCAGTAAGTTACATTTTTTGACCATACTTGGAGGGAAAACATGAATCATAGGAAAACTTGTCTATAGATTGTATTCTCAAAGAATTACATTTAGTAAGCTATCTTATCACCTTCTACATTTCACACAGTATGCTAGAGCATTTGGTGTTTATGGTAATTTACCTGAGGGGATGAGATAATCAAAGAAAAATGATCTTCTAAGCAGTATATCATTCTTCTGAAAATGGAAAAGTAAACTGATATAGAAATATTTTCAAAATTAAATTTTCATGATTAAATGTGTTATTTAACTACAGAATTAAACACAGTACAGAAACATCTTTCCTAAACTTTCTGGAAATCAGGGAGTTACTGTATGGTCACATAATTTAGAATTTTTTTACCAAAAATACTTCTCTAAGCCACATTCTGGTTTATACATCTATTACTGAGGATTAAACAATTTCAAAACATGTAGTGGCGTAACCAAAACCAAGTGAGTGACTTACTGCAATAACGTATAATTTCTCAGAGTGGTGTACATTGCCTGGGCTCAGCTGGGCAGCCCAGCTATTTGTGCAGCGTCTTTAGCTGGGAGCTCAGCAGAGGCTGCAGCATCCAGGATGGTTTTAAATCTACAGTACCTCTCTGTGCGTAGTATCTCAAACTCAGTGATCTAGTCCAAACCTCTTTATAGGATGGGAGGACTGTTTCTAAGAGAGAAAAGTAGAAACCACCAGTCCTTTTAAAGCCTGACTCAAAAGCTTCAGAGCACCACTTCCTTTGCATTCTAATTGTCACAGCAACTCACAACAACCCAAATTGAAAGGAAGGGATATAGGTGCTACCTCTTGATGGGAGGAGGGGTACAAGATGTCTAGGGAGGAAGGGATTCCCCCGCATACTCTAACAGCACTTGTGCCCAACAGACTGAAGAGTTCATGAATAAGCTGGCCAAAGCTCTGTCCCTTTGAAATTTCACCAGGTTTTTATTATACATTAAATTATTAAATGTGCACTAAATAAATTAACAAAAATCATCATAGTTGTTAAGCATAAACAAACATAGTATGGAAACTCCTTCTAAAGAAGAGACTGAGAGTCAGTGTTCTGAAAAGTGCTCTTTTTTAGAAGAAAGATGAAATATTTTCATTTTTAACTCTTCATATCTTTGTTAGTTTATATGTCCTTTGAATACATGGGTAATCAGTATGAACAACTGTGTGCATGCTTTTCATTTAGTGTTAAAAAATGTGTTTCTGGGAATCAATATAGTTCACATTCTTGGATTCTTTTCACAGTTAACTTTTTTCTGTGTGTGTTGTGGTGAAAACACTCAAGATATACTCTCAGCAAATTTCAAGAATATAGTACAGCATTATTAACTGTCATCACAGGCTGCACGTTAGATCCTCAAAAAATGAAATATTTTTAAAAATATTTTGAAATACCTTGAAAAAAATTTGATACTATTTTTTTTAGTATCGAATAGTTTCTACAGTTCTACCTACTGAAATTACTGGGACTCTTTGGAGCTGTCGATCAGAGAAGGAAAGAAGAAGGAATTGTCAAAAACTAATAGAGAATAATGGAGCATCCATGAAAGAAAAAGATTCACTCCACATTTGGTCCTTAGTGAGAAACTTATTTTAAGATGTAATATTGTGTGTGTGTGTTTTATTTTATCTATTTGTTTTTTAGGCAGATGACATCAGAGCTTTGCTGATAGATGCCATGCCCCCAGAGGCCTTACCTACCTGTTTCAAACCTCAGGCTACTGTCGTGAGTGCCTCTCTGATCTCACCAGCATCCACCCCCTCCTGCCTGTCTGCCGCTAGCAGCATAGACAACCTCACCGGCCCCTTAGCAGAACTGGCAGTAGGAGGAGCATCCAACACCGGGGATGGCGCGGCGGGCGCAGAAAGGAAGGAAGGAGAAGGCAAGTACACCACTGAATGCCCGTTTGGTTTTGGTGTTCTAAATAAACAGATTCCCCTTTTTCTATTGGTAGTTATTGAACACCTCACTTAAAGATATCCTGTGTATGAGTTTTCACGTACACAACAGTTCATAAGAAACATGTCTTCATAAACTCCCACTGTTCGAGGCACCAGAACCAGACAGCTACGGCCCCTGCCCTCACGGATCTTACCCTCTTTCCCCCACGCTCTGCTGTCCGGGTACCTGAAACTTTGCGACACACACTTTATTTCATCAGTTGTTGACTCTACTGAAAAGTGTCCTCATTTGATTTCTCCTGTGCTCAACTCACGGCAGGAAAGTCTAAACAAGTGTATTCCTTTCTTTGTATGGCCCTCCTGCCTGTCTGCCGTGAGTTTCCCTGCCATGAATAATATATTTGGAGAACTAAGGGCCAGGGCTTATGCCTTCCTCCAGCTTCCCCAAGAGGGGAAATCTTAGCAATTATATAAAATAAGATGTTTTCTTTAAAAAAAAAAATGCATTCATAGAATAAATTCCTTGACATCTACATTGTTATTACTTATGTATATCCCAACACATCCTATTCCAACTATGGTGTCTTACTGAACTGCTGAGTGAGTCTTGTTACTTAAATTATATCAGAAAAATGAAAAGATTATGTTAGAAATGAAAACTGAAATAATAGCTAAAAAATTTAGATTTTTAAATTCCACTGTTAAATATTCCACTAAAATCATTATATTATGCTTTAAAATATTAATATAAATACTATTGGTAAGATAAACTCCGCTTTTACTTCCCCATAAAATTCAGAGCTAACTTGAAGTGTCTGAATTAAATTTATGTAATTTGGATCATTTTATGCTATGTGAAAGCAGCTACATAACCAAGGGTGTGTCAGAGAGCCATGGCTTTAAATAAATACTGAAACTTCCTTTAGGTTGATATACTTCTTTCTGAAAAACTTTAACATATGTCTGTTTTAGTTGCGGGTCTTGACATGAATATTAGCCAGTTCCTAAAAAGCCTTGGTCTTGAACACCTTCGGGACATCTTTGAAACAGAACAGGTAAGCTCTCATATAATGTCCAGTCTTTTCAGTTAAATACTAGGAGTTATTAATTGCCAGTTATTCTTTCTCTTTTGCTTCTTAACCACTCTTTTAAAACTCAAAACGGATTTCCAAAGAAGCTAGAGGAATCTACTATTTATGCTTCTTTCCAAAATTGTCCAACAGATGGTCAGAGTCTGTAACGTTATGTTGTTGTATCTTTATAAGCAGTCTGGCTCAATATGTTTTATTACATGTCAAAATGTAGGCCATGAAACCACCTCAAAAGAATGTTTTAAAAATCTTCCCTCTTCTTGTTCCCAAAAAGTTTATTAGCCTTTATTCACCTCATTTTATTACTAATGTGACTAGATTCACTTAAAACTAGTAAGAAATTTTTATGGTAACTGATTAGCAAAATCGTCACAAAGTAGTTGTCCATTAAACTAGAAAGCAAAATAATTCCTAGGCAAGTGTACCTTTAAAAATTGCTCCTTTATGAAGTTTCCACTATCTAGCTAGAGACTAAAATATGTTGAACCAGAACTTGGCCATATGCTTAAAGACCTAGCCTATTTTCAGATAGATCTGAAATGCCTGTAAAAATCTTAGTATGAAGTCATCATTAGGGTGTTTATGAATTAAGATCCTTCTGTTTGTCAGTCTGTTTTTATATGGAATAATGAGTTTTTAACTTATCACTATGTGATTTTATTACCATTAAGTATCAAGTAATAAATTCCTGAGTTTGACCTGGGTATTACCAATATACATAGAATCTTAGAATGGGAAACATTTTTTAGAGATCAGTAAGTCTTTCTCCCAGATACAGGAATTACCCTTTTTATATCCATGTAGAACAATATCTTGTTACAATTTGGACAGGTATGATAAAATGCTTCTAATCTAAAATACACCCACATCTGCTCCATGTTTAATCTGTTAATATTCTGCTTATCTTTACCCTGTTTTGCACAGAAATCTCACCCCTTTCTGAATATTAGACGAGCGTTAGCATTAGACTAGCATTTCATACAGCCACCTTGCCATATTTCCACAGACCTCTGGCTTAAACAACAGAACTGTATTCCTTCACAGTTCTGGAGGCCTGAAGTTCAAAATCAGGGTGTCAGCAGGGCCTCAGTCCCTACAGAGGGTCTAGGGGAGAATCTGCTGCATGCCTCCATTAGCTGCTAGGCCCCTTCACCTTCTGGCCACATTCTTTCCATTTTTGTTTCCGTCTTCACCCTGCCTTCTCTGTGTCTCTTGTCTCTTCTTTGTGTCTTTTGTAAGGATGCTTGCACTGAATTTAAGCCCTCCCCATCTAGTTGGAGATGATCTCCTTATCTCAAGATCCTTGACTGAATTTACATCTGCAGAGATATAAAAAAAAAATTTTCCAAGTAAGGTTCTTCTCAAGGTCTGGGGCTTAGAACTTGGACATATCTTTTTGAGGGTCACCATTCAGCTTGCTACTTACATTCAGCTTCTTACATTTCTAAGACCTACTCAACTTATCATGGATTTATCCTTCTAATCAACTACCCACCCCTCCAAAGTTTCTCCTAATTTAGCATAATAAATTCATCTTCTTTTTTAGTTATTCTCTTTGTGGATATAGTGTCCAAATTCTTTACTGCTTTCTGACCCATTCTGATTTCTTTGTAGGCATATAGTTTGTTTAGAGTTAAAGTCCAGGTCTTTTTCATATCAATGATGAAAGACTTTTTATGTCAAGATTTTTCTAATGCGTTGCATTTTAGCTAATTTCTTCATACTATATATTGTAGTTGATCTTTAATGCTCTTAATGATCGAAACAGTGGGTAGAAGTAGCACTGGACTAAAAAAAGACCTTGATTCTGATTAAGGCATTTAACCTATCACTTGCCTTGCCTGTAAAATATAATAATACTTTCAAAAGTCCAGATAATTAAAATTCCCAGCCTTGTACTGCTGTGCCAGTTTTTAAAATATGCTTTAATGAAACAATGGTTGTATTTTCTGTCTGGTGGTGAGGGTTTTATAAATGCTATAATAATTACCTTTGCCTTTAAGCCTCACCTGCCATTGATTCACCTCTGGCTTGGAGATTTCTTATGGGAATATCCTACACTGTAAGACTCTTCTTCCTGTATCCTTTCTCTGAAGGTATTAAAGCTGTTTTAAAAGCAGTATCCTCTGCTACAGCCATATTCTGACCATTTCCCTTCTTCCCACGTCATATCCACAATAACTGTGAAATTTCACATAGCTTTGCTTAATAAAAACAAAGACCCACATTCAAGCAAATCATTCCAGTTAGCCATTTTTCAAGAGTTCAGCCTCTACTGTTTTAGTCAGTTTGCATCATAGTTTTTTTTACTTTATATATTCTCTTTTATAGTAATGGTACCCTGTGGCATACTTATCTCATTTTGTCGTTTTTAATAGTTTAATCTTACAGTTGGTCCTTTTGACAACTTACCGTAGTTTCATCGGTTTCATTGTTATCTTTTTCATTGCACTTTTGTTCTGAGTAAATGGTTCCATTGATTTTCCTTTTGCCAGAGTAATTAATCAATATGTTGATGCTTCCATTTAACGTGTATTACCTAGCCTAATTCCTTCCCTGCAGACAAATAATACTACCATTCTCTGTATAGAATTGTGTGTGGCTGTCTTCTTGCCCAGTGTTCAAGCAATCAAAAGTTTTATTTGACTGCAATTGTTTCTTGACTAGCCTTTAGTTCTAGAGTAATAAGTTCTGTAACCCTTTCCATAACTTATCCAGAGGACTTTCTGTCACTAGCATTCTGCATCAGTCCAGGAGAACGTGACGAGGTCAAGGTGTTCGTGAGTGAGGGGAGTGTCAGGGCGTGTGTGCGTGTGGTACCCATTTAGCTCTTGTCTGTCACTGAGATGCTTTGACACATGATAGATTATTACTTCTATTCTGATAGATATTCTCTCCCAGTGGAGTGGGGAAGAAAGATCATTTATTTCTCCTCCTTCAGAGCATCGTCACCCCACCTCTCACCTTCACAGTTGTTCTTTCAGAAGTCCCTTAGCTGCTTGTTTGTCATGTACGTTTTGCCAAGTTCTGTATTAAGTAATACACACCTGTGTCCTTTGTAGTTAAGCGTCATACCTGTGTCACTCGGGCCCTTCCTCTGTAACCTGGCTTCTTGACTATGATACTTTTTCTGCGGGAAGGGCTGCTTGATTTACATTGCAATTCTTGGAACATAAATGCTGCGACTTGTGAACACACTTGTGGTCCGCGTATACATATGAAAAGTGACCTTATCAATTTTTATTTCAGAAGCTAAAGACAAAGGCATGGACTCAGTAAATTCATTTGAACATGATTGCAAAGTTAATTCTAATATCTGTTACTGTAGCCTGCAACCTCGCAATGTAAAAGAAAGCCCTTTTTCATTCATTAAAACCCCAGTGTTTCTCCCTCCACCCCAAAGAAAATAAATAAATCTTAGAAACAAGAGGCAGCCCTTCTTAAAGTAACACTCTCGAAGTGAAATTTGCTTTATATGCAAGATGATTTAACTGATACATGGGTGATCTTTATGTGAAAGGTTATAATTTGGTTTTAATGTATGCTGAGTATAAATAACTGGCCCAACAAACTTGTAATTTCCTAGATGTAACTAAGTTTTTTTTTAAAAGTGAGTTAAAGATAATTTTCAGAAAAATATTTCTAGCAGTATAAAAGCTTTGAATCTTGGAGAAACATGTCTAAAATTCAACTTCCAGATATTTCCAGTTCTTTTATTATTAATACCGTAATACAATATTCACTCATCATCAGAATTTGGAATAGTCTTTACTCCCATGCCTTGCTTCTCCTCCAGCATTTCTATGATCAGGCCCCAGCATCTCTCCCTTTGAAGTTGCTCTCCAGTTCACCCCTTCCAGTCTCCTCCACCCCATCGTTGTCGTCTTGTTCACAGTCACTTTCCCTTCCAGATCTGCCTCTCGTACCACTGTCCTCCTGAAATACAGTTTTGTATTGCTCTGCTGAAAAGGTGTCCTTGGACATTTTGGACACTATCTTCACTTGATGTGTAAAACCCATAAAGACCCACTCTTAGCCTGCTGCTCTGTCCATCACTTTTTTTGTTCCTGTGTATACATTATACACTGACCATTTTGAACCTTATTATTAATACCAGAGTCTCGCAAGTGTTTTATATTCACTTGGTTTCCCTTTTGTACATGGTGTCCCTTTGTTGTAAACACCCTTCCCTTCTTCCTCTAAGTCTTCTCCTCAGCTGAATATTACCTTCTTTTAAGAACCTTTCCTGACCCCCTTCCTGTTCCTATCTTAGTTCCCAGTCCCACTTACAACCGCAACACAGTAACCTTCCTGAGAGGTCCCATGGGACTCCTCCAAACATTTACCAACCTTTACCAAATATTTGTGTTTACTTTTTATCTCCTTGGTAGAGGAACTATCACGACCTGTAGTGTTAGTGTTCTGTTTGTTCTTTGGCCCCACTGTTTTACTACTGGAGCCAGCTATTTACTTTTCTGAGCTGTAATGGGTCATTTTAAAATTAAATGTTTAATTAGTCACTTTTTGGGAAATACCTGGCATATAGAAGGTACTCATTAAATACATTATGTATAAACGAATGAACAAGTGAACATAAATGTAAATTCAACAGCTAGTTATTTAAGGTTTTCCAGTCCCCAGTTCCAATAAATATAAGGACAAATTGAGTACCATGTAACTCAAAGCAGTTAAATTTAATGGTTAATTATTTTAACTCTCTAGTCATCCCTTTTAAGACAAATAAGCAAAGGGAAAGACAAATATAGCAATACATTTCAGCTCTTCTGTATACTATTTTTATGATTTCACTGAGCCTGAATTTCTTCATAAGGACAGTAATAGTATATCATGGGTCATTATGAGGATGAAATGAGGTACTCATTTCACAATTGGAATCACATAATGAACAAATGTATCAAACATTCTCCATTTCTTCTCTGAAACCTAATACTATGTTTTGTTGGCCTGGTTTTTGCTTCTTTCAGACATACACTATACATATCAATTCAGAAAGGCTAAAAGATTCTTTAAATTGAAGCTGCCACATAGATATAAGATCCTGTTTTTATGTCAACATGATCTGAAGTTTAGAAGAAAAAAGTGGAAATATCAATAATGTTTCCAAATTATATTAAAATCACATCTATCTTAAAAATGTAAACACTCCTATTATGTTGCAAACTATGCTGTCTCAAAGATGTACATTTCAGAACTGTGGTTTTTTTAGAAGCTTTGCCAAAAACTTCCTTTGGGTGATTGGAAGTGAATTGCCCATTTTGTGCAATGGAGAGATTATTTCTTAAATGGCCACTTAGGAGAAATATAGCAAATTATTTCCAGAGAGTGAATGATGTATGCTTTTTGCTCTGAGAGGATCAGACTCATTATGTAATATTTTATTCTCACAGTAAAAATCATCAGAGTTCCAGACCTAATTTGTTAGTTTTTTAAAATGTTACGTGCAAGTATAAAGGTAGAGAAAGCCATGAATAAAAATTTCTTGAGTTGAAAAAGAGTGTTTATCAAAGGATTTCTCGGTTTCCCAAGGAAAAAGAAAATCAGAAGCTGATCTTGTGAAGTAGTATCTGGATTGTCACAGGACCAGCTTCTTCTGAGTTGAAAATCCAGGAGATGCAACTGCTGGAGATTTCACCCTGTGCATTCAGAGCACCACCACTGGGTGGCGGTAGAGTCGCAGTTACTTTTAGTAAACAAAGACCGGAATAGAGATCTTAGATCTTGCATTGTGGAAGCAAACCACCTCCATTTACAGGGATTAAATCACCAAAACTTAAAAAAAAAAAAAGACCAAAACTTTTAAACCACTGTTTTGAATAAAATAAAATGTATGTTAGACTTCAGGGATTGTTAGATGGCTTTTAAGCTCTTACAAATTCTACCTACTCTCTTCTCCAAAATGGAATTCTTTATATAGTTTCTATATAAGATGGTTTGTAATCTAACTAAATACTTGTGATATAAATCTTGCTCCTTTCTCAGGCAGCCTCTTCCATGCTTGAATACTTCTTAGCACTGGGAAGTTCTTTCTTATCTTTATTTAAATCCCACTTCCCTAAAGTTTCGTCTGTTTCATTGTGCTGAGCCCCTCTTTCCCCTGCCATTCGTCTTTGCCACCTTCTGGGTATTGAGATCTGGTATTTCCCCATTTTCAAGCTGCTGGCTGTCTCATATCTTGAGGCAAGGAAAATGTGGTGGAATGAAATAATCAAAAGGAAAAGTGGCAATGATCATTTCATATTTCCGTAGCATTGTTTCTCCCGTTTACCCTCTCCATTGACTGAAAACAAATCAAAGAGTATTTCAAGTGAGCAAAAAGCTGGTAAGTTTATGAAGGCAACTTTAAGAAGATTTAAGTTCATGCTGATAAAGGAGACAAGAATTTTCTTAATTTGGATACTGGAGCATTGAAGACAAATGGAAGAGTTCTCATCATCTGAAGAACTGTTAAAGATTTAGCAATTAATTTTGTTTCATTTTTCAGATTACACTAGATGTGTTGGCTGATATGGGTCATGAAGAGTTGAAAGAAATAGGCATCAATGCATATGGACACCGCCATAAATTAATCAAGGGAGTGGAAAGACTCTTAGGTGGACAACAAGGTAAGCTATTAAAAATAAAGAGGTTTCAGAAATTAGTGATAAAGTGTCCTGTGAAGTGAAAGTCGTTCATTTCATGTCCAACTCTTTGCAACCCCATGGACTATGCAGTCGATGGAATTCTCCAAGCCAGAATACTGGAGTGGGTAGCCGTTCCCTTCTCCAGGGTATCGTCCCAACATGGGGATCGAACCCAGGTCTCCTGCATTGCAGGCAGATTCTTTACCAGCTGAGCCACCAGGGAAGCCCCGTGTAGTGTCCTGCCTGGCATTTAATCAGGTGGCCCGACCCCAGAGCTCATGCACTCAGCTTGGCGTCTCCTGCCTGTCCGTCTCCATCATTGGTCTCACTCTCCCTCTAGTTATTTAGGCTAAAAATCAGAGCCACTCTTTCCTCTCCCCCATAACACTGCATCCTAAATATCCCTGGAATCTGCACTTCGGTCCTTTCCCACTGCTACCACCCAATCCACGCCACTGTCGTCTCTCTCCTGGACTGACACAACCACCTTCCAGCTTATCTCCAACAGTCACCTTTGCGGCCTCCCCCCACCCGGCTCCCCAAACCTTCCTTAGATGATAACCAGAAGACTCTTCAGAATGACTGTATGATCGTATCATTCCGGTGCTTGAAATCCTTCAATAGAGTACTGTTGGTTTTAGGATAAAATCAAACGTTCCTAACATGACTGTTCAGAAGCTGACCTTTCTGTCTCACCTTGTGTCCTTTTCCCTCCTTCACAACTCTCAGTGCAGTCTTTTTCTGTTGCACTTTGCTGTTACACGCCTTTCCTTTTCTTTTTTGGTATGCTTCCATGTTTATCATTTCTCTGTTAGCAGTGCTTTCACTATAGAAAAGCAAAGAGAGAGAAAAGAAACAACTTGAATTAGTCTGCAGAGACAGTAAAATTGTAAGAGTGACATGAAAGTAAATGTTAGCAGGTATTGATCTTGAGTCTTGCTTATTTAGCTATAGTAACTCAACAAGAATAATGAAATTAACAAGAATAATGTATTTTAAACTTATTATATAAGTGACCATTTCAAGCTCTCACAAATGATAATTCTTTTAGAGGATAATTCTTACAGTTTAGACCTGACTGCATTTAATTACAGTGTGTTCTCTTTTGGATCAGAATCATGTATGTTCATGATTGAGTTCAACAAATAATTGTTGAGTCTGTTGCGGGTATAGGGAACTGTAAGAACAGAACAAATTGAACCACAAACACATCTCCATTATGTTTTTCTTGTCTTTGGATGTATTTGTTTAATATTATCTTATATATTGGGTTCAAGTTGCAAATAGCTTAGACTTGTTCCAGAATGCCAATTATTTATGAGAGTTTTCCATAAAATAAAGCCTGGATAGTGTAGAACTTTAATATGTTAATTTTTCTTCCCTGCAGGCACCAATCCTTATTTGACTTTTCACTGTGTTAATCAGGGAACTATTTTGCTGGATCTTGCTCCTGAAGATAAAGAATATCAGTCAGTAGAAGAGGAGGTAATGTACATCAAAATTTTTCATTATCTTTTCCTGAAATCCCTGCTCACACCTCTTTTTCCAAAAGAGGTAAACTTGTCTTATATTGACTGATGGTCTGTTGCCTGTTTATTATTGTGTCTCCCTTAGCCATTGTGGTGGCATGTTGCCAACATTAACACAGGACTACACTATGTTGCTTTCACATCAGAACCCCTAGGGTTTCCAGTGGGTGGGCCACATGTACCTTTTTACTCTGGAGACTTTCCTGAAACTCGTAGAAGTAAAGACCCTACAGAACTATTTTTTCATACTGTTAAAATGCTACCTAAAAATAATACGGAGTGAGAATCTTGTGTCATAAATAATAAACATCGTCTAATCTTTATTTTCATGAAAGTTCTAAAATGTGGTTATAAAATAATATGTGTGCTTAGGAAACCTGCCTCATAACTCCAGTCAGCTTTCATTTCTACAGTCAATTATTTTAAAGCACCAGAGTAAGACTTTGTATGAGCCTCCTGGTAGACGTGATGCCACAGAGATGCGCTGTGCCTCACTTAGCTTATGCATCATAAAGTGCCTAATGGCATTATCATAATAAATAAGCTTCCTAACTAATTCCACCTTTTGCAGAGAAAGGCATGCCTACATTTATTTTGTTTTCTACATCTTAATTATTGCTGATATTATTCCCATCCCAGGGTCTCAGGACCCTTACCCGAGGGTAGCATTTCACCTCGTACTTAGTTTATCAGGAAAGCGTCCTGTTTTCTCCTGTCTTACTGGGTAATCATTCTCCTTGTAGTAAGTAAATTCTGATTATAAGGCCAAAAATGTAGTGACTCACTTCACCGAGGGAGCGGTGAGATAGAGAATCAGCTCTGAGTCAGTTCTCTGAGAAACTTAGGTATTTAAAACATCTTAATTTTCAAACTATCATAATCCTTAATTTGGAGAGTAGGAGAAGGGTAAGTAGTGTTCAGAAGAGTTATTCCACTTTCTTACTTACACGTTATACCCAGCTTCCCCCGTCTGTGCAGATATACTTTGAGATCCCAGAGCAAAGAGACGACATGGACTTTTTCACCTAAGGGACAAAGATTTATCAATTTTTATAAATTCTTTGTGTTTACTTTTAGCACTAGTGCAATGGGGTGTTAGTTCAACCTTAAGAGTTTTAGTTTGACTTAATCACAATGTTGTTTCTCCTCAATAACATAAAATAGTAATGTGGATGACTTACTGTGGTATTTTACCCCATGGTGTTTGCAGAAAAAACTTTCAAAGCTTTTATTAAAAAATAAACAGAAAGTGCAAAAGCTTGATATTTATGTCTATTTTCTCACCAGAAATACTGATTCAGTAAACTTGTTGACTCATTTATAGTGAACTCCTGATTACTTACAGTGCTGAGTCTTAGACTCATTAGCGAAACAATACAATAGAATTAAAATGTTGAAAACAACAGGGGGAATGTCTTCAGAATTCCACACTGGCCTGTTTTCAGAAAGTTATTTTGTTTTGTTCTATAGATGCAAAGTACAATTCGAGAACACCGAGATGGTGGTAATGCTGGTGGCATCTTCAACAGATACAATGTCATTCGAGTAAGTTTTGAGCATTTCAGGGTGAAAATTGGATAGCACAGCTTGCCTGACTCTCAGATATAAGCTCGATCAGCTGGCATTCGTGAGACAAGTATGGTGATAAGACTCCCAGCACAAATTTGGAATGTAATTTATGTTTTCACTATTTCAAAGTAGTATTAAAGGCCTCGATTTTTAATCTGATTTTGTCAGTGATTATATCAGAATGCATATATCTCTTAATCTCAATATTTTAATTCATAACATGAAATAAATGACTGCCACATGCTTTTTTCAAAGGGGGTGTCATAAAGATGAATAAAATCTGTTGATAAATGGTTTAACCCTTTGGGTTAATAGACCTATTGACATTACACCAGTGCATATCAGAATTACCTGGGGAGCTTTCTGAAAGTGCAGATTTACAGGCCCCTACAACCTGAAGTCCTCAGGTGATTCTTAGGTATAGCCAGGTCAGGTGTAGATAACGAACAAAAAGTGTAGCTGAGAATTGTCACTAAAAACAGAGTATTAACTGAACTATAGTGACCTGGCAACTATATCATTTTTAAATAATGCTTTAAGCAAACAAAACAAAAATTGAACCTCCCTAAAGAAAAACATACTTTTTATTTTAAATTATAGACTGCCAGTTAACATGCATTTCACTGATTTGTTTCTTTCTTCCTCATCTTTAAAGATTCAAAAAGTTGTGAACAAGAAGTTGAGAGAACGGTTCTGTCACAGACAGAAGGAAGTGTCTGAGGAGAATCACAACCACCACAATGAACGCATGTTGTTTCACGGTGAGCACCCACTGATCATTAGCTCTGAGTGTTTGCAAACTCCAGGAAGGTGAAAAGCCTGTGGTATTGACTGTATTCGTGTTGTGTTAAAAATGGTTTGTTTTTATTTATCTTTTTTCATTACATGTTGGTACCAGCTTTCTAAAGCATTACATGTATGGGCTTTCCAAGGCATTTACAATGAAAATAATTTATCTGAAATTGTCTCAGAATTTACATTGCATGCTGAGCCATCTAGATGGTGGAACGCTATTTTTGTTGTAGTTTCAGCATAATTGTTTTAGTTTATTGAATTATCTGTTTTTGCTTAAAGCAATGCTGGGTGTAAAATAATCTGTATTTTCAAAGTTATGTTGTACTTTGCTATCTAAAATCCCATGTCATCTGCAAAATCCATATAAGTTCCTCGCTGGACAACAACTATGAGTCCCTGGTAAAATTCTAGTACATGATAGTAATTTCTGTATTGTAGACCATCCTACAGAGTAAACTTTTCATGTAAGCATTATTAGTGTTACTCTGCCAAGTGCAAATAGTATGCAGCTAATGAAGATTCTGGAAAGTGCTCAAAACTGATCTGTCTTTATATTTTTAGGTTCTCCTTTCATTAATGCCATTATTCATAAAGGGTTTGATGAGCGACATGCATATATAGGAGGAATGTTTGGTGCTGGGATTTATTTTGCTGAAAACTCTTCTAAAAGCAACCAGTATGTTTATGGAATAGGAGGAGGAACAGGCTGTCCCACACACAAAGACCGGTCATGTTATATATGTCACAGGTGAGCATCATTCCTTCTGTGTAAGGGTTGCTATCCTCAGGTCATGGACCAGATTAGTTTCTCAGGCTCTGCAGAAGTCACAGGTCATTCTCACTCTTACTCCTAACAAATCAGACCATCCTGGGGGTTAGATAGGAACAGCTGGTCAGCCCCTGCTATAATCAGAGCCATGACGGCAGAGTCAACAGCAGTTGTGGTAAAAGCCAAATGTTTGTCTGGGGAAAGCCAGGCATAGGTTACAGCGAAGCTCCCTCCATCTTGACTTTCTCCCCGGGCTCCACTCTCCTTATTTCAGATTCAGGACAAGATTGAGAATTATTTCTGGAGAACAAGGAACCTCTAGCGCTAATCAGATTTGAACTAGAGCACATAACTTCTCTAAACAAGTAGAATCTTTCATTTGCTCCTGGTCGGCGTTTGCCCCACAGGGTATTGGTATCCCACACTGGGCCACTGCATCTGCAGGCCACACACAGGCACAAGGCAAGCTGGTGAATAGACATGAGCCAGCTAGGCAGGGCCTGCATCTTCTCCTGTCTCCACAGCAACAAGGATGCCCTGGGGCAGAAGGCAGGAAGCAAGGGCTGTCAGGTCACACTTTGTGTGACATATGGACACTGGGTATCGCCATGGCAGTGGGCCCAGCAGGCTGAGCGGGCAGAGGCCTATGACACTGTAGTGCCACCACAGTCTCAAAAAGCTTCCTTCTAATGCGAGTCCAAACCTTTTCCTCTGGGACCTACAAGAGGATACAGTTGCTGCCAAGCCAACATCACCAGTAGCATCACACTAAAAAAGCCAGCCCAGGCAGGATTCAATTAAACTGGGTCTAGCACAGTTTTGATTCACAGTAATACTTGTTTAGTCATAATGCACAGATCATACGTCATTACTTTATTTAAAAACTACTTGATTGAATAACAACTATTTACAGTTAACAGTAGGACCAAATCTTATAGCTTAGTTAAGATGTCTATTAATATGTTCAAGTATTTATTAAGGGTTTGCGGACTTTTATTTCAAAGGGCCACAGTGGTAAATATTTTAGGCTTTGCAGGCTGTAGGATCCTTGTCACAATGACTCAGCTCTGTGCTGGTACAGAAGCGGCTACAGACAGCCTGTAATGAATCTGTGTTCCAATAAAGTTTTATTTACAAAAACAGTTGGCAGCCTAGATTTGGCCCATAGTTTGCCAGTGCCTAGTTTATTTAATACACTGTCTTCCCAATCAATCTTTCTTTCCCTCCATAATATTTAACAACTGCTTCAATTCATGTTTCACTCAGGTAGTGAACTTTCTGGCCATATATTGAAGCTAAGTATTTTTATATATAATCCACTTTTATTATTATTCTTTATCTCATCTCAGACTTTACGTCTTCCTAATGAGTAAACCTAACTTTAATTTCAGACGCTGCTGCCATCTGCTTATTTTCTTCACTTTCCTCCTATCCGTCCACACTCATTCTTCCAGAATGCAGTTTCACCAGTATTTGTCTTTTTCCACTAGTCAAAACTTGCCAGGTGTTATCTGTGATTGATTTCTAAACCATACCAAAACCACTTTAAACTTAAAGTGTAACTATTGAACCTGCTAACTGCTTATAGTAAATCAGTATTTTAAATCTCATCCTATTCCTACTCATAAAATTAAAAGTGACATTTAAATTAGCTTGCCTTATGTTAACTATCTTTTTAAAAAATCAATAAACCTACCAGTTATACCATTCTAAGATTTAAAGCTTCCTTCAAAGTATTGCTTTGCTTTTTTCTTCAGGCAAATGCTTTTCTGTAGAGTGACCCTTGGCAAGTCCTTTCTGCAGTTCAGCACCATGAAAATGGCCCACGCCCCCCCAGGCCATCACTCTGTCATTGGGAGGCCAAGTGTGAATGGGCTGGCCTATGCCGAATACGTCATCTACAGAGGAGAGCAGGTATGGTGCTCGTGAAATAAGCGAGACCAGGCTACTGTAAACAGTTGATTCAAAATGCGAAGACCACATAAGAATTAAAGAAAACCATTTAAATGTAATAATGTAAATATGAATTTAGTTGAATTTCAAATGGATTGAAAAGGAGAAAAAGCAGATTAACTGTATACACGAAAACAATGTTTTATTATATGCCAACAGTCTTGGGCCAGGTTAGGTGTGGAATAGGGCGAAGAATTGTAAACAAATCCTGGATTTCATTTAGATCTGTTGATTGTGGGCAAAGATTTGAAATTCTTTCAGGTGTATTCTGGGATTAAGCAAATGAGTAAATATGTTGATGTGCTGATTTGGGGAACTGGGTTCTCACAGTGGAAGAAGAGACGTAAATATGGAATGAGGGAAGGTAACAATGACTCTAGGGAAGGGCAGAAATTGGAGGTATTAATAGGAACGAATGGCTTCTAGTAAATACGTATATGTTTGTACACATGTAAGTATATGTATGTATAGGTTTATGAACAAGAGATATGTGTAGGCATATATATATATGAGTACATATGTGCATGTATTTCTTAGCACTGTCTGCTGAAAGCCAAAAAAAAACCCAGTAGCAATGAGGACTCCTCAAGCCCAAATTTTGGCCTGTAATACCATGCCCCAAAGAAGGATCTTTGAAGAAACAGCTAATTCCAGGGCTGGAGCAGATTAGGAACTTGTTACACCAGAAAGTAATGAAGTCCTCGAAAAAGTGATGGGAGCATGTCACAGGGAAACAAAATCAGCTCAGAGTGGCTCCCACTGGCCAAATCTGAGATAATTTGAACATCAAAATAAGTATAGTAATAAATTTTACACCATTGGAAAGAATAGGAATTTATGATTCCATACTGATAACAAAGAAAGAAAGGAAGGAAGAGAGGTAGGAAGGAAGCTTTCAGGCTAAATGAAACCCCAGAGACAGGACAGCTAACTGCAGATTCTCCCCCCAAAGTAGATCTGGTACTAGAAGAGAAAGGACGTTATTAGATCCACAGATAAAATTGAAATATAAATGGTAGGTTAAAAAACATTATGTCAGTATAAAATTTATATATGAGAATATCCCTATTATTATGAAATAAGTACTGGCATATTTAGGGATAAAGAACCATAATGAGGTATATTACTTACTCTGAAATGACTCAGGGAGAAGCATATCTGAATCTCTCTGTGTGTCTGTCTAGTATATAGAGAAGTAGGGGGAAAGTCCACATGATAAAGCAAATAGGATAAATAAAACCTTAACAATATTTGGATGTAGGTAAAGGGTCGGACACGACTGAGAGACTGAACTTAGAACTTAAGGTATACAGGTATATTAGGTACTAGTTTAATTTTTGCAACTTAATGTGCCAGTTTGCAGTTGTTTACAAATAAAGAGCTTTTAAATTACCAAAGAATACTTTTGTCAAATTCTTCTTTTTAAATCAGAAATGCCCAGCTTCTAGAAAAAATATTTTCACTTTGACTCAGTAATTCTACCTTCAGAAATTTGTTTCAGATAAAATCAGTGACGGTCACATCCCAAAAAAGCGCCTAGAAAATTTTAGCAAACTAAAATTTTAAACAAATAAAATTTTAAACAAACTAAATATTCAGCAAAAAGGGAATGATTAAATGAATGTTAGTATATTTGTGTGCCTGTGATTTAAAAATACGTCTACATGATATCTGCTAAACACAGAATCAACGAAAACATAAGAACAATTATCTGGGTATTAAGATTATAGATGATTACAGTTTTCTCTACCGAACACTTTTCCAGATCTTGTAAGTTAGCTACAGGAAATAGAATTTCATTCACATTTGGGTGGAAAGAAATAAGAGATACAAATAATAGGTTTACACCTCTAGTATTTGCTGATCTTTTAACCATTTCCCAAGTACTTTGACTTGATAACTTGTTGAAATTCTCTTGCTAGAATTTAAAGAATGATGTGGTCCACATCATATTTGAAAGAAAAAAAATACCTTGAAAATGTAAGTTCTTTTGTTTCAGGGGCGCACACCTGTGCTTCCATATGCAGATAACACATGGACATTGTTAATTAGTGTCTACTAGTTGAGTCGTTGCCCATGAGCAGTTTCTCCTGACTTATGGTCGTTTTCCTTTGCCAACTTTTCTTTCATTCCCCTTAGTTATACCTTATATTTCACCTTTATTATCAACATTTTTAAGACCACGTAAATGTTTTATTCAGAGGGCTGATCTGAAGAGCATTATTTATTATTGGTGGGATTGTTTCTTTAGAATTGAAAAGATATATTTAAAATTAACTGCACTGTACTTGAAAGAAAAATAGTCCAGTATATGACTGGACTTAAAATATCAGGAATATTTTTTATTTTGTACTTTAAGCTTCACATTAATTAGACATAGAGGAAGTATTCTCTGGTCATTGGCAGCTACAGAGATGTGGCCTGTTTTACTGAAGTGATATGAACAATGCAGAGCAACTTAACCTGGAGAACGGAACAGAACGATTTGTAGAATGATTTTCAAACATACAGAATCATTCAAGGGAGCATGATGCTTCTTCATCTCAGTGGAGAATAAACTAAAAGCACTTGAGTTTAAATTGTAGCATTGAGGATCTGAGTTAAGAATTTCCTCAAAGTGAAAGTCACTCAATCGTGTCCAACTCTTTGCGACCCCATGAACTATAAAGTCCATGGAATTCTCCAGGCCAGAATACTGGAATGGGTAGCCTTTCCCTTCTCCAGGGGATCTTCCCAACCCAGGGATTGAACCCAGTATCTCCCACATTGCAGGCGGATTCTTTACCAGCTGAGCCACAAGGGAAGCCCAAGAATACTGGAGTGTGTAGCCTATCTCTTCTCCAGCAGATCTTCTAGATCCAGGAATCAAACTGGGGTCTCCTGCATTGTAGGGGGATTATTTACCAACTGAGCTATCAGAGAATTTGGCTACTAAAAGTGGTTGTTGAATCTTTTTTTCTAAGTACTTAAAAAAATATGCTCTATGCTCTTAGAACCAGCTTGGGTTTAGAGTAAGACTTGACAGGAAATAATGTTTGTTGGTCTATCCTGGGCGCTTCTGGTCCTGAAGTTTAGTTAATTCCCTTGACTTAAAGCCTACTTCTGGACTTTGATATGATTAATTCCTGTCTCAGACTATGTGCTCAGTCACTCAGTTGTGTCCAACTCTTTGCGACTACATGAACTATAGCCCTCCAGGCCCCTCTGTCCATGGGATTTTCCCAGCAAGAACACTGGAGTGGGTTGCCATTATACACAGAAGCAATTCACTAGCCTAATGAGTAGGAACCAGAAGCACTCAGAATGGTATGAATGATTAAATCATTCATACCATTAGAATCTGCCTAAATTTTACATGTGTTGGAAATCTAAAATACCATACTACCAAATTCAAACGCTTGCGTTACTGATTCCTTTGCTTAAGCAACTTTTCTACAAGCAAAAGGATGTATCACACAAAGGATCATAGAAGACGGGGTAGAGGCTCATCTTCAGAGCCATTCTCTTTCAAAGTTGCCTTTCACTAGTCAGCTTGTCAAAATTACCTCCAAACTGTTGCCTCTAGGTTACTGGTGACCCTGCAAACCTCGCCTTTCCCCCTCCTCACTCAGTGGGTTACCTCATCATCTATGATTAACTTGAAATCAGTTCAGTGAATTATTCTGTCATTGAACAGACTTTTCTTGAAAATGCTATGTGATAGCAATCCACAAGGTGACGTGAGAAAGATTTTTCTTTGCCTTGGTTTTCTGGTTTATGGCACGTGACTCTCTAGGGAGGCATAAATGTAGTGTGATGAATTTACAGTATTCAGAGGTGAAATAACATGATAGCAATTCTAGGATTACAGGGTTTACACAGGTTTATGTACAGAGATGAAAGTGGACCTCCTCACTGTCCAGGCACCTGTAAATTAGCTGGCCTTTGCAGGCACTCAGGTGTATGTAGAGTGTGGGTTATGACCAGCAGCCTCTGAAGCGTCCACATGAAGCTGGGCTTCAGTATCTTACCTGCTCAAAGGGTGATAAATGCTTTCTTCCTGTCCTTTCCAGGCATACCCAGAGTATCTGATCACATACCAGATCATGAAGCCAGAAGCTCCTTCACAGACCGCAACAGCCGCAGAGCAGAAGACCTAGTGAATGGCCATCGGTAAAGGCCGGATCAGATTTCAGCCTGGGCCTGGATGACAGTGGATTGCTTTCAACAAAGTCAATATTCTATAAATCCCTGACAGCCTAGAAATAAGCTGTTTGTCTTTTATAAAGCATTGCGATAGTGATGAATATAGTATGAGTAACTGATATATACTCAACTGCTACTGTTCCCTTTGAGGAAATGTTTACAGGGGCGGCCTTTTAATATATCTCAGGCTCATTTTCATTGCAGTTATCCATCGCTAAGACAGGACTGCTTCGATCTAGACTTGGAAATGGGAAAAAAGACAACCAATACTTTCCCAAATGTTCACAATTCACACACTACATTTGCTTTTCTACATATGGCCCGTGTATATAATAAGTATACACGTATGACAGGCTCATTTTTAGTTTTTTCTGAGCATTTATCATCCACTTTTTGTTGCTGTCATTGTTGTTGCTTACTTTGAAAATGAGCCCGAGCCTTCCTGAGGATATTTTGCACAGTCAAACTGACTAAAATCACTAGTGACATAACCCGAGCTTCTGGCTGAGCAAGGCTTTTAGTGTCCAATTTTTTTCCCCCCACTGATTTATTTTTATCTGTACCTCTTATCAGCGTAAACTCAGATGGAAAGGAAAAACGCCACATTTCAGTTTCCTTTTATGATTGGCCAGTCTTACAAGGGAAAGGCACCCGGCGTCCACCTGATTTAGGAACTCCCAGGTTCAGAGCAAGTCGAAGCCCATGAGAGCCACTCGCACTTCCCAACGCAGGCCTGCCTCCAAGGCGTTCAGGACAGTGCTGGAGGGCCAGGAAGAGCCCAGCCAGTGAGAGGCTGTGGTGACGTCCAGAGGGGAGGCCGCCGGGGAGGCCTGTGAATGCAGAAGCATCATTAAGACGCGTGAAGGGCCCGGGGCGCGATCATACGGCAGCAGAAAAGGACCAGGAGGACTTCTCCAAGATAACACTGTCTCACTTAGCCTGCACCACCGGGACTGTCGCCCCAGAATCAGCTGCCTTACTTCCAGATTCGGTGGACTAACCATACTCCAGTAGAATAACAAACATACTGCTTGATTATTTCTCTAGTTTAGAAAGCTGGGGTTCAAATCCTGTTTAGTCACTATATAGGCACAAATGGGAGAACTCTTTTGTTTGCTCCAGATTTGGGGTTTATTTTGAGTGAGGTGCTTCAGATAGTTTACGTAGGTCCCTGCACTAAATTTTTGAACCACTGTCTCAAACTACTTAATAGATGAGGAGAACAAAAATGGAAACCAAAGCTCTTTCAGTTTTTTAAATGAAAGGAGAGAAATAGTCATACTGTTTCTTCTTGAAATCACTGCTTTGTTTTGCTTTTTTTCCCTCAACATTTGTCAAGTGCACATTGACACTTGTAAAAAAAAAAAAATTATCCGTGACAGTTCTCACACTTGTCCTTTTCATCTTAAATGAATATTGAATTGAGTGCATTAGCATATTTACTTGGACATGCTGTGTGTCTACTTAGCTTTGAAGCAAAGTAACATAAATTTGGTGGAAAAAAAGGAAAAACAGTGTGATGGAAACTTGCCATTTCAATTTACAGTCCTGACAACTAATTTGCTTGTTTTTTTTAATGCAGGTTGATTAAGCTGTGACTTCATTTACTAATCTCTTAAAGAAAAATAAAACGGTTACACGCAAAGATTCTAGAATAGGGTCTTAAAAATACACATTTTGCTTTCCTTTTGGCTTGAGTCCAATGCTAGAACTAGGCATCAGGAACTAGTTTTGAGTTTTATAGCTGAATCTTGCATGGGTCCTCAAAATTAAATCAAGAATTAGCCTCAGTTGTTGCTTCTATTGAAGTTTTAGTGACCCAAGCTGGGTGTTTGTGTCTTGGCTACTTGTTTAATAGCACTAGAATTCCACACAGAGCTCCCAAGTTTGATATTCATGAAGAGGGTTTTTTTCCTCCCTTCCTTCTTTTTTGCTGTGTTTGTAACAGTGGGTTGAAGGAATTGGCATTTGTGTTGTTTTCAGTAGCTGTGAAAGTGTATAATACTTGCCTCCAATTAGATATAGTTTAAAATGGTAAACACAGCTGTGATTTTTAGTTAAGTAAAAGGATGAATATGGTATGGATCTCAAAAGCTTTATAGCTTCATTAAAAACATAAGCCACTACCCACTCAACTGTGGTTATATGTCGTTTCCGTCACACTAACTAGGTTAATGGATGTGCCAGTTGAAGCTTCAGCCTTACATTTGAGAAGCTAAGCCGTGGTTCGGTATTTAAACTGCCAATGTTATATCTGACATTCTGTGTGCCGAGTAAAGGTACTGTGTAAGGAAGACATTTGCTGTGCTTCTTGTCTTGTAATGATTCGAGTATGTAGTAGTTCTTGAAGGAATGTGTACATATTACTCATCTGCTGAAGAGAATGAGGTAATCAGTATCTTATAGGAGCCAAATACATTTTTTCAAAACTTGAAAACCAAAGGTCACCCTGAGCGCGTTCAAGTTAGCAGACATTGATTGCATTTGGAATTTCTACCCATAGTAGTGTGAAAAACCCTTTGGAGCTTACAAGCATGGCATTCAGTTAGGCTGAAATGCAGTTTGTTTCTTGTGCACGCTCTACGGAAACACTAGCAAGTGAGGGCTTCCTTTGTGCCTGCCCCTGAGTTGACCCCTCTGTTTCCCAAACCACACAGGAGAGAGAATCCAGACCCTCCACCAGCCCGCTGCAGGTCTGACATCAAAGGGCTTCTAGCCCTGATGGCCCAGTTTGCTAGCTGTTGGCATCAGTTAAGTGGTCTGGACTGGGCACTTTTCTTCTTGTTCTTGGCCTCCTTCCCTTTTCCCCAGATGGCTAGTCTGGATTTAGGATTAGCTCCAGCAGTTACCTTTGACCCCACTCATTTGCCTCCTTTCTCTGTCTTGAGTCTTGCATACATACAGCAACTGTACCTCAGTTTCCAGTTCACAACCAGAGTCGGGTAGTAGGCCTCACGTTCTCTGCTTAGAAGATTCAGTCACTTTGTTGACAGATGACAGCGTGGAACCCAGAGTTCTAATTCTATGTAGAATAATGGCAGTACAGCCAGAATCCATCCTTTATCTTTTCCTTCTTGGAATTTGGAATTCCTAGCTTCTCAGTAACATGAGTCGAGTGAACAGTACAAGGATGTTTGTGTGAACTGACATCCTTGTGGTCCTCTGAGCTTGATGTTAGCGGCTACACTGACTTCCCCTTGCTCTCAAACAGTGAAGTGCGTTGACACGTGCAGAGAAATGCCCGAATGTGGCAAATAAAGTTAATATAGAGTGATAACTTAGCCTCTATTCAAAAAATAAAATTTTGGTGTATGCTAGAAAACAGCATTAGAATGCAGTAATTTGTCTGTGTTTTTCTCTATCTCACAGCTGCACAACAGTTCTTGGCCAAGGCTCACCCTCGTTCTTAAACACCTGTACCTTCTGGGTTCCCGTGAACACTTTCAAACAGAGATGGTGTGTATTTTTAAGCACCTTCCCCCTAGGATATCCAGATCCCACTTGTATGATAATCTGTGATAAACAGCCTTTTTTCTGTATATCTCTGTTGGGCAATTATCTGGCATAGAGCTATATAGATTTTAATCATTCAGGCAGTGCTGAAAACTGACATTAAGATAGGGTTTCCCTCATCAGAAACTTAAAGACTAAAGTTAAACTTCTTTGATGTCAGATGACAGAGAAATTAAAAGAAAGTAATTGTGAAGATGATATTTGTGCTATGGCTGGACACATCTAGCATATGAAAAGGAAATGCATTTTTGAAAAAGCAACCTTAAAAAGACCTTGTGCATTCTGAAATTAATAGACAATTAAAATTTCTTAAGAAAGCCTTAACTATGGCAGAGAATTTTTAACCTTTTCCTAATAAACACAGAGTTGTAATTCCATTTCTCAGCATGTGAAAGATGTCAGCATGTTGGGTGTATCTCCATGTATCTCACACCTGGTAAACTTAAGTTGATGAGAGTCTATTTTCTAAGGAATCCTCCTTTATCTGCAGAACAGCTGAGAGGATCAAGCTGTCCCCAATTCCTCTGTATCTGAACTTCCTCAGCTATCAAACATTCTGGTTGAGACAAATGATTTCAAAACCCATGAAGTTTTGTGCATGTAGGGGTTACCAGCAACTCATGAAGGTACCACGTAGAATTTGAGTGTTGCACAAGCTAATTTTGAACCATTTAAAAATATAAACCACAGTGATAAGTGACAAGCAGTAGGAAGCTAAGATTTTACATACTCCCCAAGACTAAATATGCTCACAAAGTGACCAGTTTTAAACATCTGCAGAGGTTTTTAACTCCTTTGAGATAATATTCACACAGCAGAGGTGATTGCATTCTGACTCTTCATTTTTTCACATTTTCTTTTATGCTTTACACTTTCACATCTCCATACACACCCCACCACCCATCTTTTCAAACAGATTTCTCATGCTCTAGGATCTAGAGTGTTTGGTTATTTATCTGCCTGCCCTTTTCCACAGGCAGCTCTTGAAGCCCCTTGTCTCTTAGTGTTTGCAGAGAAGTACAGTTAAACCCTGGTGGAGGCGGGGGCGGTCCCTTACACACTCCCAGCCCCTCCCAAGGCTCAGGAAGAAAAGCTAGAAAACACAAGAATAAAAATTAGAAAGGAGCCAAGATCTTTGAGGCTAATAGCCTACACCTAGAAGCGGACCTTGACTATATAACCATTATGTTCATGACACAGAATATTTAAACTCTTCATGTGCATAGAATACTTGCTTCTGCTTCCATTGTTTCAAGCTCACCCTGCCTATTGTCTTTGATACCTACAGACTGAAAGGTACTTATATCAAGGTTTCTCAAAAACATTTACAAAACCAGCTTTGAGGAAATCAAGAGTGTTTCCTGGCAACAGCATTTGAAGTAGTAAGTGTATTTTCTCATTGTGATGTTGGTCTGTGTACATAACCAATGTAGTGACTCTTCGGTTCATTATTGGTAATGTTTTTATTTGTAGTCTCTGTGACCCACCAGTGGCAGGGAGTTCCAGTTCACTCTCCTGTCCTTTTTTGCATTTGTCTGTTTGTAGAATTGCCAGATAAAAGACACCCAGTTAAGTTTGAATTTCAGACAAATAATTGTTTTGCTTAAGTATGGTTTGAATTATTTGGCATATATTTACTGTAAAAAATTATTGTTTATCTGAAATTCAAACTTAACATTCTGGGCTTTTGGGCTTTGTTTTGTTTAGTTTTACTAAATCTGGCAGGCCTGTTGATTTGGTCGTAGGAAATTGCTTACAGCATGTAAATTCTTCTAGACTTCACTCTCTCACACGGAATGGAGGACCTTTTTCTCCCCCCTCACCCTCTTCTTTCCAAAAGAGGGCATCAAGGAACTCAACCTGCCTGCATGGTGGGTTTCTATTTAAGACATCTTTATGATTATACTTAACCTGTAATTGTGCTTTGGCTAAATGTCTAACTTACAGTACTTGTAATTGTTTAATATTCAATAAAAACATTTTTAAAGTATACAGTATGTGGGTAGAAGTTAGCTCTGAAGTGTTTTCATTTCCCTCTTTGTTCCCTTCAACCTGACCAACCTTAATGTGACTGCCCTAAAACTGCCGGAAAAGACAAACAACAGGTCCCTCTCATCGTGGGACAAGTCTCTAGCGAGGCCTGCGTGAAGGGCCTTATCCTCCCTCAGCCCACGTGGGAGTCACTGAGGCCCAGCGACAGCAGACGCACAGCTGCCTCTGAGAAGGATCTTCACAACAACGGGGCACGCGCCTTGGAGACAGACTCCACACTGGCTGCCAAGGCAACGGGGAGGCCAGCTAACCGCTGTCCCTGCAGACGTCACTCGCTCCTTGTATGGGGGGGGGGGGGGTGGGCGCAGGAGCCAGCGGACCACCTGCCTCTTGTCATGGCGCTGCTGTGGTGGGTGTGACTCAGGCTAGAGAAGGTGCACCCTGTGAAGAGCACTTGTGACCCTTTGTCACTGGGCATGGTTCACTTTTCCTTATTTTATAATCATAAGACAGCACAGTGGGCATCTAAGCTGAAGGAGCACCTGGCATTACAAAGGTCATCTGAAGACTGCTGGTGGCCCAGTGGTTAAGAATCTGCCCTCTAATGCAGGGGACACAGGTTCGATACCTGGTCAGAGAATTAAGATCCCATATGCCACGGGGCAACTAAGTCCACATGGCCGTAACTGAGATCCAACGCAAACAAATAATATAAAAGGTCATCAGTTCCCATTCAGCTGAGACCTGGCCGCCAGACTTGCAGCTTAGCATCTGCTCTGAAGACCTGCGTCCAGAACAAGGGGAAGGGGGTGGTGCAGGACTTCAGTTGGCCAATCCCCACCTGGCCGATAGAGCTAATAATGAATAAAACATCTGACAATATGTAGGTGACATGTTCATTTTGTTAACAGGATTCTTGGCATACTTTACTTGGTCAAAGGCTGATGTGAAAAGTAATTCTATTCATCTCTACTTTCATAATTCTGCTTACAAGTCCGGAGAATGTTATACAAAGCATAAGATAAATTAGGTGTTTAGGAATAACAGATCCAAACTACCATATAAAATAACAAGGACTTACTTTTCGATGGCATCACTGACTCAATGGACATGAGTTTGAGCAAACTGGAGATGGTGAAGGCCAGGGAAGTCTGGTGTGCTACAGTCCATGGGCTCACAAAGAGTCGGACATGACTGACTGAACAACAAAAAATATAGAACAGGGAACTATAATATCTTGTAATATCCTAAATGCAAAAGAATATATAAAGCTGAATCACTTTGCTGTATACCTGAAACTAACAGAACATCGTAAAATACCTATACTTAATTTTGTTTTAAAAAGTTTAAAAAGAAGAAAACCATGGATCGAATCCATGGTGGTATGAAGAGGCTGGAGTTTTCAGGAAACCATGGCTGCTCTGGACCGCCAGGTTGCATCACAACTCCCAGGAAATTCTGTGGGGACTCTGGGTCTCTTCTATCTGCTAAGTGGGAAAATTTTCTGCCAAAGTTATTTAGTAGGAATATTTGGAAGATATTCAAGTGCTCTTGGGGTCCTAGGAGAAAGCAGAAGTGTAACAAGAAGTCTGGCCGACTACAGTCTGTAAGTGCAGCAAGTGTGCTGCAAGACCGTATGGTATGAAGGCACCTCAAACTGCCTGAGATCAAGGCCCAGCTCTGCCACTTACTATTAATAGCCATGTGGCTTTGGGAAGCTCCTTACCCTCCCAGTGCCTCAGTCCCTTCATTTGTAAGATGAGTCTGAGACCTTCCCTCATAGTAGAGTGGTTAAGATTCTGTGCTCCCAATGCAGGGGGCACAGGTTCAATCCCCGGTCGGAGAATTAAGATCCCATATGCCCCACAGTTCATGGGGTCACAAAGAGTTGGACACAACTGAGCGACTTTCACTTTCACTTTTCATGCCCCACAGTTCAGCCAAAAATAAAAAAAGACTATGAAATGCGACTCCTACTACCAGCAGTTTAGAGTTGCTGTAAGAATTAACACTAGCATTTTCTGCTGAGTTTTGTATTGGAACTGAGATCCTACAGAGTAGACCTGTACACACAGCGAGCACCTGCTGATTTAGGCCCTGGTCAGCTAGTTCTCATAAAGGAAGGTTGTTAAGAACAGAGGCTGTGGTTTATTTCAAAATGGTTCCTCTCTCTCTCCTACTGCCTGAAGAACAAGGATATTTTTCTCCAGTATTTACTATGAAAACCTATTTGAGCTCCTGGAAATAAATCTCTCCGAATTGTCGCGGTCCCCGGTGACTGGGTCCCGCTGGAGTTTTGAGCTCTCAGGGTTAACCAACATTCAGCCTCTAGCAAATCATTGCAGTTCCTGTTTTCCTGCTCAGTACTGGATCCCCGAGCAACTTCAGCTCATGAATCTCACAGCTCCAGTGAATTGTTATTCTCTGTATTTGCCTGTCAACTTCTCCAGTCTCGGGGACAATTTCCCCTGTGTCCTTCCCTCGCTTACGTATCCTAGAAGAGTTGATTTTTCACTTTGTTTGGCTGTTGACGTGTTATTAGCACTAGCACCTTCCAAGTTCCTTACATGTAGAACTAGAACCCCCAGACCACAATGACTATTTAAAATATAGCACTAAAGGCATCATCTATAAAAGAAAGAAACTGATAAGCTAAAATTTTATTTAAAACTTCTGCAAAAGATGCTGGGTAGAGAATGAGAAGCCACAGACTGGGAGAAATGTTTGCAAAAGGTATATCTGATAAAGCACAACTATCCAAAATATACAAAGAACCCTTACAACTGGATGTTAAGAAAATCAACAACCTGAGTTAAAAAATAGAACAAAGACTTGAAAAGACAATCACCAAAGGAGGTAAAGATGATGAATAAGCATAGGAAAAGATGTTTAACGTCACATGACACTAGGTAAATGCAAATTTGAAAAACGACATGCCGTAACACACCTATTAGAATGGCCAAAATTTGGAACACTGATACCAAATGCTAGTGAGGATATGGAGCGACGGGAACTCTCATTGTTGGTGGCATGCAAGATGCTATAGTCACCTCAGAAGACAGTTTGGCCATTTCTTACAAAACTAAACATACCATACATCCCAGCAAGAGTGCACTTTGATATTCATGCAAAGGTGTTGAAAAGTTAGGTCCATACTGATACCCACGCACAGGTGTTTCTAACAGCTTTATTCACAATTGCCAAAACTTGAAAACAACCAAATGCCCTTCAGTAGCTGAATGGATAAATAATCTCTGGCACCTCCAGACAGTGGGATATTTGTTCAGCGCTTAAAAGAAATGCACTTTCAAGCCATGAAAAGACGTGGAAGAAACATGAATGCTAAGCAAAAGAAGCTGATCTGAAAAGGCTACCGGGTGTATGATTCCAACTATATGACATTCTGAAAAAGGCAAAACTATGGAGACAAATAGAGAAGTGGTTGCCAGCAGTCAGGAAGGGAGAGATGGCTAAGTGAAGCACAAAGGATGTTCAGAGCAGTGAGAATACCTTCAAAGATACCATAAAAGTGGATGAATGTCACTGCACACTTACCAAAACCCATAGAATGTACAACGCCCAGAGTGAACCCTAATGCAAACTGTAGACTTTGGGTGATTGTGATGTGTCAACATAGGTTCATCAATTGTAACAATTATACCACTCTGGTAGAGGATGTTGATAATGGAGGAGGCTTTTATCAATCGGGACCAGGGGTTTATGCAAAATCTCTGTAACTTCTGCTCAATTTTGTTGAACCCAAAACTGCTCTAAAAAAATTAAATCTATTTTATAGAGAGAGAGAAGGCTAGAAACATATGTACAAAATGTATACATGAATACTTCCTCTTTTAGAGAGGAGACCTAGAGATGCACATGATGAAATAAATAGTAAATAAATAATATTTAATTTAAACTTAATCCTCCTTTGACTTCAAGGAGGTGAATAGTGTGAACATGTATTTTTTTAAAAGGCTGGTGTTTTAAATTCATTTAAAACTGGGGAAGACAGAGGGTGAATTCAAATATTCTTTATGTTTCTGCCACTTCGAACTTAGGAACTGATTTTGCAGATCCTTGCTCCAAAGTTCAGACCCAGGGGAAGTCCTGGGAAGAGAGAACAGTTAGCCAAGCAAGCCCCTCTTCACTCAATGTATGATGTTGAAATAAAACTGATGTTTCCTTGCTCAGCACTGAGACCAACCTACAAGGGGAGGAGCTGTGTTCCCGGTCTCAATATTCTTTAAAATAAGACAGAACCCAGAGGAATCGGGTGGAGAGGGAGGTGGGAGGGGGGATCGGGATGGGGAATACAAGTAACTCCATGGCTGATTCATGTCAATGTATGACAAAACCCACTATAATATTGTAAAGTAATTAGCCTCCAACTAATAAAAATAAATGGAAAAAAAAAAATAAGACAGGAGAATGTATACAAAAAGAATGGAAAGCAAAGACTCAAAAAGATACATTTTTTTAAACTATTATAAACAAAGTCAAAAGACAAATTACAAACTGAGGGGAAATATTTGCAATTCATACTGTAGAAGGGCTTCCCTTGTAGCTCAGTCGGTAAAGAATCTGCCTGCAGTACAGGAAACCCGGGTTCCATCCCTGGGTCGGGAAGATCCCCTGGAGAAGGAAATGGCAACCAACTCCAGTGTTCTTGCCTGGAAAATCTCATGGACAGAGCAGCCTGGTGGGCCGCAGTCCATAGGATCGCAAAAAGTCATGCGTGACTGAGCGACTAACATTACTTACTTACTGTAGAAGGGGGCTAATCTCTTTCATACAGAAAGAGTTCCTAAAATCCTGGAAGATTATTTTTTTTAAAAAATTTTTTTCAGGGGAAGCAAAAAATGGCGCCTGCAAATGAGCAAAGTTTGTGACGCAGCGAGCTTTTTGTCTCTGGTCGAGCTCGTCTTCTCAGGACGGAAGAAAGTGCAGGCTCCTCATTGGCAGCACGGGTAGGAGCAGTGGGAGGTGTATGTGCAAGGAGGCGATCAGGACTCCAGCACCTTCCCTGGCTGCATCAACAAGGCTGAGGTCTTTGAAGACCAGGTAAACGCACGCCTCAAGAAAGGACTGGCGGAAGGTGAGGACTACGTGCTGCTCCCAGCGGCTGCTCGGCATTACCTGGTCAACTGGTGTGTTCTAGAGCATGGCCAGCCTCGCGTGGAACGCAAGGTCGTGGAACTGCCCCGCATCCGCAGGGCTGAAGTGCGCTCTAGAACTGATGCTCGTCCCGCTCAGCGATACGGACACACCTCCCACGGCTCGGCTCAGCCCCGCAGATTCCAGTGACCTCGTTTTTGCGCGCCTCTCAAGAGCAGTTTCCAGGGCGCCCCCAGGAAGAGACCCGGCTGTGGCTCAAGAACGCAGAGGGCCCTTTTGAGAGGTTGTGCGACGCCCGCGTCACAGTGCTTGACGCCCGCTCTCGAGATTGAGCAGGTGGTCGTCATGGAGACCCGAAACAAGGATGCCACCTGGCCCAGGGCACAGCCACAGGCCCCGAGCGGCGCGTCGGAGGAGGGTGAGGACTTCCAAGGCCAGCCGGGCATCTGTGGGCTCACCAACCTGGGCAACACGTGCTTCGTGAACTCGGCCCTGCAGTGCCTCAGCAACGTGCCCCAGCTCACCGAGTACTTCCTTCAAAACCGCTACCTGGAGGAGCTCAACCTCGGCAACCCGCTGGGCATGAAGGGGGAGATTGCAGAGGCCTATGCCGACCTGGTGAAGCAGGTGTGGTCCGGCCACCACCGCTCCATCGTGCCCTACGTGTTCAAGACCAAGGTCGGCCACTTTGCGTCCCAGTTCCTGGGCTACCAGCTCCATGAGTCACAGGAGCTGCTGTCCTTCCTCCTGGATGGACTGCACGAGGACCTCAACCGCGTCAAGAAGAAGGGATACGCGGAGCTGCGCGACGCTGCTGGGAGGCCCGATCAGGAGGTGGCTCAGGAGGCCTGGCAGAACCACAAACGGTGGAACGATTCTGTGATCGTGGACACTTTCCACGGCCTCTTCAAGTCCACCCTGGTGTGCCCTGACTGTGGCAGTGTGTCTGTGACCTTCGACCCCTTCTGCTACCTCAGTGTCCCACTGCCCGTGAGCCACAAGAGGGTCATGGAGGTCTTCTTTGTCTCCATGGACCCCCGCCGCAAGCCAGAGTGGCACCAGCTCCTGGTCCCCAAGAAAGGCAAGGTCTCGGATCTGTGTGTGGCTCTGGCCAAACACACTGGCGTCTCTCCAGAAAGGATGATGGTGGCCGATGTCTTCAGTCACCGCTTCTATAAGATCTACCAGCTGGAGGAGTCTCTGAGCAGCATCTTGGACCGAGACGATATCTTCATATACGAGGTGTCAGGCAGGGCAGCCCTGGGGAGAACTCCAGAGAGGACGTTGTGCTTCCTGTCTACCTGCAGGAGCGCACCGGAGCCCGGGATCACAACAGTTCCTCCCATGGCCTGGCGCTCTTCGGGCACCCGCTTCTGGTGTCGGTGCCCCGGGACCGGCTCTCGTGGGACGCCCTCTATCACATCCTGCTCTACCGCGTCTCGCGCTATGTGACCAGACCCAGCTGGGATGACGAGGATGGGGATGAGAGAGACCTGGAAAGTAAGGACAGCCTCCCTCAGCCTGGATGTGGGGCTGGGGGCAGCTCCCAAGACCCTAGGCCGGAGCAGGCTGGGTCTGGCTCTGGAGTCACGAGCAGTCGTCAGGGCCCTGGGGACACCTCTCCTGGGCCATCTTACTGGCCCCAGAGGATGCGGCACAAGCACCTCTTCACCCTGCAAACAGTGCATTCCAACAGGACCAGCAACTGCTCGCCCTTCAACGAGGATACCCAGGCCCAGCCGTATATTGCATTGACTGGGAGCCAGAGATGAAGAAGTGTTACTATGATGAGATGGAGGCCGAGAGCTACATGAAGCATGACTGTGTCGGGTACGTGCTGAAGGAGGTGCCAGTGCGGCTGCAGGAATGCATCAAGCTCTTCACCACCGTTGAGACCCTGGAGAAGGAAAACCCCTGGTCCTGCCCCACTTGCAAGCAGCACCAGCCCACCACCAAGAAGCTGGACCTGTGGATGCTTCCAGAGACACTCATTATCCACCTGAAGCGCTTTTCCTACACCACGTTCTCCCGCGAAAAGCTGGACATCTCTGTGGAGTTTCCTATCCGGGACCTGGACTTCTCCGACTTTGTCACCAAGCCGCAGGACGACTCAGCTCCGGAGCTCTACAAATACGACCTCATCGCGGTTTCCAACCATCATGGGGGCCTGCAGGATGGACACTACACGACATTTGCCTGCAACAAGGACAACGGCCAGTGGCACTACTCGATGACAACAGCGTCTTGCCTGCGATGGAGAATCAGATTGAGTCCAAGGCAGCCTATGTCCTCTTCTACCAGCGCCAGGACGTGGCAGGCCTTCTGCAACCCCAGGCTGGCTCATCGAAGCCCCGGCGTCCTCTGCCTGCGGTGCACCACCCAAGCCAGGGTTCATGCATGTAAACTGAGGGGCCCCAGCCCCACCAGCGGGAAGGAAGCTGTCCCGGCTCTCTTCCTTCCTGAAGCCACCCCCGTCCTCTTACCCATTAGGTGCCCCACGCCAGGCGCCACAGGCTTAGTCGTGGCTGCTATTCTCCTGTGCTGCCTACATTGCTCTCTTCCAGGGAAAAAGAGGTCATGGCTCCTTCCAGCAGTGTGTTCCCCGCCCGTGTTTGCCCTTCAGAGCATCAACCTTCCCTTCTATTCTCTCTTTATGATTCTCCCCTTCCTTCTTGTCCTCAGTCTGGGGTGTTCTTGGGGTGGGGGTGGGGTGCATCTGAACAGAGTGTATTTTCTTACTGAGATCTTGTACCTTGCACTGTATGTATATAAAAGTACCAGTGTGTTCCTAAAAAAAAAAAAATTCAGATCAAAGTTATAAACACAGTTCATAGAAAAATACAAATGGTTCTTGAATATGTAAAAATTGCTCTATCTCATAGAGAAATGCAAATTAAAATAAGTTAACACAAGTTAGCTCTTCGACTGACAAAACTCAAGAAGTTGTATAACAAGTGTTAGTGAGTGGGTATAAAAACAGTAGATGGGGGAGAAGTTACATAAATATAAACATACTATACCTTCATGTGCTTACTCAAATGATTGGAATACCTTGTCGGTGAATATGTCAAAATCTGGTAACAATTTTTTTTTTAATCTAATAACATTGGTAAATAGGTGGTGAGGTGACTTAGTTGAGACAGAGGCATTTTATTATATAGGTGTCTATATTTTTAAAATTATTTATCTATGTGAATAATTTATCTACATAAAAGAATTGGGAGTGGGGGCTTCCTTGGTGGTCCAGTGGTTAAGACTCCACTGCAAGGGGCTTGGATTCAATCCCCATTCAGTACTGTGATCCCTCATGCCATGCGGTACAGCCAAAAAATGTTGAAAAGAAAGATATTAGGAGTAAATCAACTCATTTATCGTTGGGTTGAAGTGATTTTCACAATACCTCAAGGGAAGCAAGATGCAGAAACTGTGTATTGTATGATCTTGTTTTTATAAAGCAAATCCCGATATGTAGTTAAACATATAGATACATGGTGTTATGCACTTGATACTGTTATACCATATAATACAACACATCATATTGTGTATGACTCTGTAGGGATAGAGAGAAAAGGAAGGACACATGATGGTTAACAGTAGTTGTTTGCAGAATCTGGTGGAGAGAGACATGTGAAAAGAAAATATTTTTTAACAATATGGCTGACATTTTTGAAGGAAAAAAATATGTGTGCATATATATTTATGTCTGTCTGTCTGGAACATAGAACAAAGAAAGAAACATCACCTGCAAACCACAAGAAAACATAACTATTATGACTCTGTCCATGAGATAGAACATGAAAACACACGTGTGTATATGTATTGTATATATATGCACACATGCGTATATGTAGAAAGGTGATCATGGAATGTTGAGGGTGAGTGATTGAGAGATACAGGGTTTCAGGAGATTTTTTGCTTTCTAATATTCGGATGTGTTTGACTTTTTCAATAAAACTATGTTACTGTGGGAAGGGAAGAAATTGAAACAAGAATAATACATGTTTTCTAAATCATGCAGCTCAGTAATTCAAAGCCTGTCCTCTAAATTTAGAGTCTGATTTCCAGGTGAAATGCTTCATTCTGTTTGAAAACTTAAAAGCAGGAGCAATCATCTTAGAAATGAAGAAAGTTGTGATGATGACGACAGAACCATAAATGTGTGATTCTGCTAGCATCTCTTCTATTTTTGCCCATTTGCTCAGAATGTTGGAAGAAAATCTTTTCCACTGGGAGACGAAAATGAAAAGGGCGTGGAAACATCACTTTGGTTTTCTTGCCGGATCCCTTTAAAGTCATGGGTTGTATTTCAAAAGGAGTAGCATTGTTGTAAACAAATATCCAGAATCAGCATTGACCCTAATCACAGAATTCAACCTGTAAATCTACAGTCATATTTCTGTCACTTAATGGTCATGTGTTCTCTAGGATTGAAAAATAAATCCCCAACTGTTACTTAAAATGAAAAGGAGATGTATAAAGACATACCAGACAAGCAAGTGTAGACATGGTATTATTGATTGCAAAGTATCAATAGAATGGCATTACATACGTGGAAAACAAGAAACATCACCTACCTATCAACCACGTGCTGCATGCGTGCTGAGTCGCTTCAGTCGTTTCTGACTCCTTGTGACCCCACGAACTGTAGCGCGCCAGGCTCCTGTGTCCATGGGGATTCTCCAAGCAAGAATACTGGGGTTGGCCACCGTGCCCTCCTCCAGATCTTCCCAACCCAGGGATTGAACCCTTGTGTCATGTCTCCTGCATTGGCAGGCGGGTTCTTTACCTCTATCGCCACCTGGGAAGCCCAGCTGCTGACCACAAGAAGCTGTACAAAGCACGACTTCATGCATGCAAGGCATCTTTGAAATAGAAAACACAAACTGTTCAAGTCTTCCACTGTGATTCTGAGTTTATCAAATCCTCCTCCTATTTGTAATACTCTAAGAAACTGACAAAATAAAAATGAAAATATCAGGGTGTTGAATATGATATTCAACTAACTTGATTTTTAACAAATAGATAAAACAAAAGCAGAGACTGTATACTCTGAATGTCTATTTGAAATAAATGACTTGGTTAACAACTCAAATGTTATCCTGTCGTCCGGGAGGAAGAAATTTTCCCTCTACTCTTCTATGTTATTCTGACTGGTCTAAGAATTAAATTGGCATGAGGTATGTATAGAT